TGTTTCTGAGGACTACACACAAAACACACTTTGGGAGGAAGGAAATGGGTGGTGCTGTGTTCTACAAAGGAGCAAAGAGAGGCTGTGTGAGAAAGCTGCTAATATAAGCAACAGGAAGAGGTTAACAGGGAGAAAGAATTATGCATCTAAAGAACAACAAGGGAGGCATGAGAAAGAGGAAAAGCACGTATGTGCTGGGAAGAGGAGAAGCAGCAAAGTGCACTCTTTCACAGTCAACAAAGCACTTAAAACATGAATGGCTTGTTGGATCATATTCAAGAGCAATAAATACATAAGTCATACGAACATGAATTTTGGTAAAGTCTCTGCTATGAGCTTTTCATAAATACAATGACTGACTTGCCAAATGAACTTCACATGGACTAAGGCATAGCATGCAAAATCTCAGGAAACTTGGTGATTTTGCCAACATTAATTGAACATAAAACAAAATTCAGCATTCTTTTGAAACTGTCATGCTCGGCCTTAATGACAGAAAGACTTGTACCAGTTTCAGGCCTGTTCAGTCTAAACATTGAGCTGTGCTACTACCTCCTCTCAGGGAGCTACAGGAAACAGGACCCCAGGTTTCCTTGGAAGTTGCATTTCACAGGTTTTCTTTTTCTCCTCTGCTAAGAAGGCACAGACTTTGTCTCAAAGCACAGCACCAGAACCTGAATAAAACTCTTCAGCCAAGTTCTCCACTGACGTTACTTACAGTGAAATATTCACTTATTTCAAAGGTTACCCAAGACACAAAGGCTGTCCAGAATGTGTCATCAGCAAGGGTAAGAAATAAAACCAAAATAAATTTTTTGACTAACCAGGAAAACCTATCCTCTAACACAAACCAAAATAAGCAAAGGAAACAAAGATTGACAAATTAGAGTATTGGAGGATGGAGAAGAAAAATCAAAATGAACAGAAGTCAATCTGAATTAGACCTTTTCATTGACACAAAAAGCCAAAGATTCTTCAACTGAGTAAATACCTCGAAACCAAAAGGAGTCTGCAGTGCCACTATATAGCCAAGAAAGAAGAGAGCCCATGAATAATCCATCTATAGCTATGTACTATAGATACTAGTTTTGAAAGAGCTAGGATTTGATACCACAAACTGAATAACAAGACCTGGTGAAGCTGTCACATGAGGAGCTACAACAGGGGACCAAAGCATTACAAACGTAAGAGAAATGTGGTGGGGACAAATAAGTCATCGGTCTGACCTAATCTCAAAATAGAAGATTGTTTATAGATCCTGGAGAAAATACAGAAAGGAGTAAAATGCAAGGTAGAGGCAATATTGAGTAAAATAAACCACCTACCTGCACGTGAGGGAATAAACTATGTGCTGTAAACATGGAAGTATCAGTTTGGAGAGGGACTACTGCTGCAGTTCTTGATGATCAGATTATTAACTTAATAATGAACAACAATCATTGTAGCACAAATGGCTGAGAGTACAGTGTTGGAAGAGACTGACAACAGATCAGATATTTTAAGAGGAGAATGTGACGACATGATAATCACAGTGACAAAACTAGAATAAAATTCAGATCAATATGCAAATCATGCTTCATTTTATGCAGCATTTTTAGACATCTACATTAAAAGAAAAAATCAGAAATAACCAAATAAACACAACAAAACCCCTCAAACAAACTGCACAAGATACAGAGTGCATACAGAAGTTTTCACTCTACCTGTCCCACTTAAGTTTGACTTATTCTGGCAGGAGAGATAGGAAGAACATAAGGCCACTGTAAGGTATAGATACAAGAAAGGAGAAGGGAAGAGACTGCTCAGCCTGAAGAATGTTCAATGCAAAAACCACATACACTTATAAACCAGCATACAGAAGCTCAATATCTTTTGACAACCAGAGGAGTGGATCAGTCTCCCAAGTAAGAAATACAGCAACAGCACTATCTCTCCTTAAGAGCAAAACGTGTATCAAGGCCATATGAGGGTTCCCAGGACTGTCAAACCAGAACAAATCCAGTTCTATGCTGATGTTGGAAGTAGGGCCTCCATGTGGAAGGTTGCTTTTTATCAGTGCAGTTTCCTGTGTTTTACTTGGACTCTGACCAAAGACACCAAGGCAGAAAAGCCATCCTGGGCTTCACAGCCTACCTTCTCTTAAAAAGCCGCAGTTCAGAACATCTTACTTGTTACACAAAACTCAATAAAACTAGTTAAAAACTGCTCATATTTCTCTAGTTATGAGAAAAGCCTCATAAAAACATACTGAAGACAGCACCTAGGTGATTTATCTCTGCCACACCTACTGACCCTGGCACAAGTGGCAAAATTTTCCTGGCACTGTATCAGAAGATAACAACTGCATGTCAAAACAGTTTGGTAGTTACTAAGAAAGCATTTTAAACATCAATACTCCGGTGTAAGTTTCACTGAAAAAAAAATTACTTTAAATAATGCTGCACTGGCTTCTTTTCCAGTGCAGATATCCTAGCTAAAAAAGTGGATGCTACAATAGTATACAATGGGTTTTTTCCTACACATGCACATACATAAAATGAGGTTTTATATATAATGTTTTTATATACCTACAGAAAGGATTTCATTGTCAGCAAAGGCAAGAGTGCTGCAAAGAAAATAATCCTCCTTTCAGACATTAGACTACCTAGGCCAAAACTAGGCCTAACTAGGCCTTTAAGGATCGACCAAAGAAAGAAAGAAAATCCCAATTAATTCTCCAAACTGAAAGAGAAGACTGAGCATGTCAAGCCACTGAATAAAAAGCTGAGGGAGCTACGAGTCTACACTTAAGGTGAAGCCAGCACTTCTACTTAACACAAACTTGAGTTTTGACACAGAGAGCCAAGACTCATTTTTCTACAGAGACTGCAGTGTGTAGGCGTGTAGAGTGTCACTGTATAAATTTAATCTCAGGAAAATCAAATGCAAATAGTTTAAGATTATGCTGTTGATAGCTACTAGCAGTTGAATATCTTAAACTAATTCCTACATACTCACCACATATAAGCAAGAGAGAACTTCAAAGGATTTCATATTCTAGTAAAAACTCTAAATTTTCATTTATCACATTTTCAGTGAAAAACAGAAAGTAACAGATTCCACCTTACATCAGCAATAAACCTACTTTCACTCCCAGCCTTCTCTCAAACCATGCAATTTTTAGAGACAAGACTGTAAAGCTTACTCAAAGGACAATCTAGAAATAGGGAACCAAAATTATATTAATCATCTCACATGGATGCTGTCTCCTGAGGGGGTCAATTTTCAGAGTAATTTTAACAATGTTCATATTTTCTTCAATGGATCTGTGTTATTTCATTTATGTTAGAGAGGCTGTTGCTGCTACACAGGCTTAATTCACAGAAGTATTTTTAGTGTTTCATTCCATAGCAAGGAATACATAAATATTAATACTTGCAATTAAATCATTACTTGAATTCTCTAGAGTTGATTTTGTTTCAACTATGCAACAATCCATATGAGACAGCCTGGAAATTTATTGCATTTTCTACTACTCTTGAAGAAAATAGAAGGCTTTTGGTTTTGCTTCTTTTTTAAAACAAAACCTGCTCCTCACCTTAGTTTGACCAAATATTTGAGTCACAGATTTACAGATGTAAAACATGCATGCTTCTCCAAATGACCAAGATTAATCCATTAAAGCAGTACCCTCAATACTTCAGCTTTTACAGATTTGTGCTAACTTCAATGTGCAATATACTGCATAAACAAGTAGCCTCTGCCTCAATAAATTTCAGTAAAAAAAAAGTCACAAAAGAACACAGATAATTGAATGCTATTTCTTCAAACACACCAAAAAATCCTTAGATTTCAGTTCCATTTTGGTGAATGCAACACTAAATACCGGCAATTGGTATTTCCTTGTCTGCATCTTGCTGCATCCACTCAGTAAGTACAAAATTCATATTACACGTACTACCAATATGAAACCTGTTTCAGATGTTCAGATGTCACACCAAGACCTTTACTTCTATTGAATGAGTTGTTGTGTGATGTGTTTTTTATCACTCAGTCCGTAATGAATTAAGCTATCTATATCAGATGCTATGTTGAGGATGTCTCTACAGAATATATTCTAAAAATACTAATTACAGTAAGGAGCCCTAAAGAGGAGGATAGGGAGCACTGACTAATTCAATGATATATCAAGCATAGAGAAAAAAATTGACAAGTGTGCAAACACCTCAAAGTTGGTAAGAGGAATTATTTCCTTATCACTGTGCCTTTAGTACTACTGGAGGACAATCTTGCAGGTAAAATATGTAAAAATGCTTGCTCATTCTACTAATGTAAAAACAAATTTTAATCTTTAGCTTGTTGAAATGTACCCAACAAGTATTAGCCAAAGATTCACAGAGAGTAGTTCCACTACACCACACAAATCTAAATATCCATAATTTCTTTCCTTACAGTGCTACAGATTACAGCAATAAAAAACCAATGTTTACAAGTTCTATATTTTCAGTGATTTTTAGCTTTCTTATAATTCTCAGTGTGGATCACTCCTAGAGTTATGTCAGTAAGACTTATATCTAGACAGCATTTTGTTGCTTCTCTTTGCATTGAACTAATTTTAGACTTGGAAATGCCACCTGCCAGGCATTTCAAAGCTTGATGGGATACGGCTGTTTATGGCTTTAGCAGTACCATTTTAAACCAGTCTTCTGCATACCATTGGAAATAAACAATCTAGCCTCTGGAAAAAAAATAAAATCTACAGATTTAACATTGAATTAACATCATTTTTTTTATTACTGGGGATGCTATTTGGTGATATTTATGATTTGACACATCTTGTTTGGTAAAAACTCAATACTTCTCCCTACCCAAATGTTAAAACAGATATTCCTTACTTTTACACTATTCACAATATAAAATCAACATAATCTTACCTTTAAAACTCTTTACATTTTACATACACCTAAGTCCATACCTTTTTTGGCATCTCAAATGTTTCTGCTCAGGATCGCTCACAGTATCAGTCATTCTCATTCAGCAGTACACACACCAAAGTTTTCAAAAATTATCTGCAGCATAACTGTATATCAAGAAAAACTCCACACCAGTGGTTTGCCCACATCACTTGGCAATGTCCCTTTAATATTAATACACAGAGAAGTAAAATTTTTTTCATAAATTTGTTCAAGTATGTGGAACATGTAAAATGCATAAGAATCAATATGGACTTCATTAATGTTATATTTATTTATTTTCCAGCTTCATACAAACTGGATGTAGAAGCATAAACATAGTACATTTCTACCATTTTCAACAAAAATATAACCAATATGTACAATTATTGTATTAAAAATACAAAAGGATACAGACTCCACCAATGTCTTTCTAAAAGACATACAGGTACAAGTAGTATCAAAAGTATGAGGAAATCACCAGTTAATTGTACATTCTGCACTTGACATCACAGAGCGAACTGAGATTAGCAGTCCTATGGTCTACAATTACTTAATGCTTATATAACATTTGTGCAACTTGTGATAGAGCTAGGATTTTGTATTTCTATATGCACATGAGGTCCATAGCCTTGAGAATAAAACTGGCAAATAATGCATATTACATGTAAAATTACAAATGCATAATTGACAATGTTATATATAAGCAAATAGACAAAAGCTATGATTACTGGAGAGAGAATTAAATAAAGCACTGACATTTGTTTGATACAGTGAAAAAACACTGCAATTTGATCTTTAAAAGTTGAAGCTATTTACGTTTATCTACTGATCAATATGATCAGCTGAGTTCAATGGAAAAAAAAAAATCCAAGACCAGCAGTTCCTCACATTTGAGTACTACTCGGATTGGCAGCCTTCACTTCTCCGGAGTCTGTGCAAAAACAACACAAAAATAGAGGGGAGGGTCATTTCAGTCATTATAGGGTTAATAGCAGCTGTGAGCAGGTGGTTGCTACACATTGGCCTTCTCTACACATGCAGTGTTCCATGAAGCCATTAACAGTTGTGACTATTTCTGCATTGCAAAGGCTGGCAAATCTAACTGTGTTATTTTTATTTTTTTCACTTAAAGGCTCAATTATCCCCTAATGTCGAAGTCAATAGATGGAGGTTATTAGATCAGTGTTAACAGCTGACACGAGCTGTGCCATCCCAACTTGCCTTCACTGCAGTGTTATCCAGTTAACTTTTATTTTAATATAACTACCATACAGTTTAAAAATAAAAAGCATATAACTTAACAGTGGGGTTGCCATCTGTCTTATTAGAATGGGACACTTTTTTTAGCATGCCATCCTGTATTCCACAAAGCACAGGTATGAGACACACCGTGTCCTCTTGATCACTGACCAGTTGTGAGCACTGTGTTTCTGCATTTACACCAGACCCAGATGAGGATGCTGTTAACACTAACATTTACAAACTTGTGAAGATTCCAGGGTGGGGCACATTAAGAGCAAAGCCAGGTAGTCAAGGAAAGGCTGCATCCTGCAACCTCTGCCTTCCCTTCTGCCCTGCTCAGCCATGTGATAGCAATATTCTTCCAGGAGCTCAGGCTGGCAACCCTACTTACAGGTGTGAAATAATACTGTAATTACTATTCAGATGCACTATTTGATCTCCCAAACACAAACATACAAAATTGTAACAAAGGCATTGTAAACAAGCAAATAAGCACTGCCTCCTTGAAGGATCTCAAAGCAATTTTCTCTTTGTAGGTTAAAGGCCAAACGTAATTTGACAACTAACTTATCTCATTATCCCAATGAGACTAAGTGCTAGGATTGTGATTAAAATCTAAAAGGAAGATTTAAAAAAACCCTTCCAGGCATTGGGAAGTGCAGCCAGAGTTAATCATCCTGATGTGATGATCTTGGAATTTGGAATGATACTGTGTGATGTGGCAGACAGCGACAGTGGTAGCTTGGAGATTGCTGCACTGTGCATTTCAAGCAACACAGTTTGAAAAGTGCCAGGGCGATTTCTTCACAGTATTTCACATGCAAGGGGAGAGGGGACAGAAGGGGGAGGGGCAGAGGAAGAAGCCCCATGCTGCTTTAAGGCAGGGAAGGAGGCAAATAGGTCCACCATCCTTTAATCATAGTTCCAAGGCTCCTATTCTAGGGACGTCTTCTTGTGCTCTCCTTTAAGGTGGCTCACTCTGGATCCAGAAAAGCCCAAGTCTTAGACAGCAGAGACTTGTTCATCTTCTGCAAATATAACAGGATAAGGGAAAACAGAGTTTAGTTCATAAAGAACAAGACTGCTACTGAATGAAACAAGCTGTGCATACAACAACTGTGTGTATTGTGCTCATGTGTTCTCCGTTTCATTGTATAAGTATATATACTTTAAAACAATCTAAATTTCAATACATTTCAGGTCTCATGAGACATATTCCTTTGGAATTTTAATGTTGAAGAAAAAAGGACAATTGCTTTAACTGAGCTAGATGCAGTTATTCATCCCGAGGAGCACAACAGATACTCCTAGATATCTAATAGCTTCAGAAAGGCATCTGACTTTTCCCTAAATAGATCTTCAATTTAGTCATCATTAGTAGAAACAATTAAAATTCTCTGTCATGGTAACTCTCAGAGTTTGAGGCAATTCAGTTAAGGTAGACTTCATTTTTTCCCATCACATTCAACTGCGAAGTTCATCCTGCACCTAAAACCTTAGTAACTACGTAGTTAGAGGGGGAAGGGGAATTTTAGTCTATCATTAAGCAAAACAAAGTATTCAAGTGAGTGATATTGGCACCATCCTGCCTAAATTTTGAGGACCTAAAGCTGCAATTCAGCTACACTTGCTCTCCATGGAAAAACATCACAGTTGAGCTAAAGCATAAAGATGTAGACACATCTGCAGGATCAGCAAGGTAGTGAGACAGCAGTGGGCTCATCATGTGAAACAGTGGAAGACTTGGTGCTCACAGCATAAAGAGCTTCAGGTGGAATGTGAGCAACTATCCAAATAAACCTGAGCAACAGTGCTTTATGGGGTGTATGGGCAAGTATTCTGTAGACCAGGATATTTTTTTGATCATTAAATACATGGTTAATGTGGAAAATCTTGTCAGGAAGGGCTGTACAAGGGTGAAATAGGCACCTCCAGAGAAGCTGCCTATGCCAACTGTTTGGTTGTTCGAGATTCAAGTAGACCTAGATTCCAAATTTTAAATTACATTTAGGATGAGCTGAATTCCTTCCCTTCCAAAAATTTAACAAATAACCCATTTTGAAATGGAGTTCAAATTATGGCAAGATTTGTGTAATTTGCTCTGTGTCTGTGACAGCACCGACCCGTTTTGCATGCAGCACACTCTAAAACTAGAAATTTACCATCTTCCTCTGTGGAAAACCCTTGAGATGGATAGTGAGAAAGACGTGGGTCTGACTCATTTGGTTTATGCCACTGAGGTTTGTTCACGGGCCTGCCAGTTGAGTGGCCGTGCGACTGCTGCTGTGGAGTTGCTGTCCCATGAGTCTCACATGTCCGTGCCACCATTCTAGATCTCTGAAGTGCTATGTTGTAGTCTGGAGGCTTCCTGGTTGGATGGGAGCCACCTTCTGCAAACTCAGCAATAGGTATTCCTACATAACCGGGAGGAGTTGGAGGTGGTTCCCGATATCGACCCTCTTTTCTTGCTGCAGGAAAAACGACAGATGATCATTAGAGACAGGATGAGGAACACGCTCAAAGGAAAATAGACAGTTAAAAGCTAAATAAGTATCAACCAACTCAACAGCCCAGGAAGAGAAACTCTGAATGAGAAAGGCTAACTATCATATGCTAGACAAAGAGCTTGTGAAAAATAAATCAGTCAAGAAAGCACAGAATATACAACATACACAGGATACAGCTATTCTTCCAGCAGTGAAGCATTAGTCTAACAAAAATCACAAAATTTCATGGGGAATTTGTTCAAACTTCCCAACTGAAGCTGTTCCATTGATTGTATACAATAAAATGTACAGTGATCAAAGCAAGACGGAAGACCTGAGTCTTTCTGAGTCCACAGAAATAGTAAACATCAGGAATTTTGGCATCTCTCACATGCATGATCAACTTGATTCTGAAGATGAATGAAGTTTTTAGTCTATAAAAACTTGCATCCAAGAGCTCATCTCTTTTCTTTTCAGCATCTTGGAGAGGAAACAAGAAATACATCTGATACATTATTTTCTTCCTATAAATCTCACTACTTAATGAGGCATAAGGTACAACTCCAAGAGCCCAGGAAGAGAAGTGGGCTTCATCATTATACTATTTGCGTGCACTGCTGCCTGCAGCCCCTGTATTTTGCTGTATTCTCTGCAAAATCAGAATTGAAAGTATTCCCATAAGAACAATGACTGAATATGATTTTATCTAGGAAGATGGAAGGACCATCACCTAGCCTGTGGATCTCACTGAGATGTAACTGTTTACCTGAACTTAGGCTTAATTCAGGGCATACTGAGAAGCCCTCTCAGAGAGAACTTTAACGGAAAAAAAAATCAGTTAGGAGTCCTAAGCATCTGCAGGGACACACAACAGATAGGCAAGAGTCTCTGTTTCAGAGTTAAGTACTTAGAGAAGTCAGCTGGGACTTTGATACTTATTGTGGGCCCAGCCCTTTAACATAAGACCACTTTAATGACAAACCTTACAAATACAGCAGGAAAAACCACTGACATAGACAATTTACTTTGCACAGCTTGTCATACACTGTATATTCTTGCCTAAGTGCTGATGACAACACCACCCTGCATTAGGCAGGATGATTTGACTGAAAGGGCAGTACAGCTTAAAATGGACTGATGCTACTTGGATGCAAGTTTTTATAGACTAAAAATAAATCCTTGGTATTACAACAAAACCAAACATTTTCCAATAGAGTCTAAGTATTTTTCTTGGACAAACTGTTTAACTGAACAAAGCAGCATGAAGAAGTTTCTGAGAAACTTTATTCAAAGATTTCTGAAAATCAGAAGTTCTACAGAAAAATTCTACTGTCGAAAAATTCTACTGAAATACTACAATAAATCAATGTCTATAAAGTGCAAAAGAACCATCTAAACCAGGGTTCTGTCAGATAGTGATACACAGAGTTACATTTGCAGGACAGATAGTAGTGAAGGGCATGGAATTGTGTTGGTTTGAATTTTCAGGTGTCTTTCATGTTCTTTCAAATCTCTAAAAATGTAGTGGCAAGCACTGCCTTGAGAGTCAAGTTTGGAAGCACACCTGTTACACATTCTGGAGGAAACCAAGGGTATCAAAGAGTAAAATTGGAGATTGGCATGAATCCATACACCTTCTTCCTATTGATAGCCCAGGGATTTAGACCTGCACCCAAGCTTTGAGGCAAAAGGCCACTGCTAAGCAATATACTCGGGCAGAAAATGGAAAAGCTGTTTATCACAGTGGTCTCAGAATGACCTCAATCTGGCAGACATTCAGCTGTGTCAGCAAAAAATGGCTTTTAGATAGTTCTTCATGTTAACCTGACAAAAGGCAAAGTGAGGGGGAATGAAAGGAAGAAAAGAGGCAAAAATTCAGAGGTACTGGATGGCCCACAGATTAGGATGCATAGAAAGAACAATATAATAAAAATGTTAAGCTCTGCCAAAGACACCTTCATACTAATTTATACGTTATCTGATTTTTCCATTATTGAATGCACAGAAATATATTTCAGCTCTAACTTCTTTGAAACCTCTTCAGTTTCAGCAGAGTAAAGAAACATTTCAGTTGGTATTTAAGCACAAAGGGATCCCATTTTCAGATGTAAGAAATATTCACAATTATCAGACAAGTCATACAGAGGTATAAAGTAAAACACTTCTATAAAAAATCAGGCCACATTTACTAAGACTTCTAAATATAGCCTTATGGAGCCTTACTGTGATGAGAAATTCAAATTTCAGAACTGACATCTACATACATCAACCTTTCAAAATACTGCCCAGCAGCTGAGCTAGTTTTTTGATGTATGGCAGGCTCTCTTGAAACACAAAGGTACTGCCAGAACTGAGAATCAACAATAAGTGATATTTTCCCTAGTGATAAAGGCTTAGTTAAAGGGAAAAATTTAAGAGAGACTGCAAAATGTTCAGTTTTGCTTTAAAAATTAAAAAAAAGAAAACAAAATAATGACAAAAGAAATGTAGAACAATATGAGAAAACTTAAGCAAATGAATTAAAACACTTCACAACAAACAAAACTTAACTTACCAACAAGCCCCTTTGTACTACTTGATGCTGCTGCTGTGTGGGCAGGGACGGGAGCTGGCTTTGTCTCCTCTGCTGGTACAGATGTTATGCTACTGGTGTCAGCTTCAATCGAAACATCCTTCCCACCCCTCCGCTTTATGGTACCTGTATCACCCTCGGAGTCCTCTCCCCAGTATCCTGTGGAAGATGCCCAGCTTGCTCTGGACTGTGCTTGGTCAAGGCCCTCCCTACCTTGACTTTGCCTGCCATACTTTGTGCCATGGTCAGGGAACATCAGCTGGTCCATATGGCCGCCTGAGGCCCACAGTCCCGCCCCATCGCCTGAACTATCAAAATGAGCGTGTCCGAAAGGCAGAGTCTCCCAGCTCCTCTGGTGCTGAATTGTCTGGATGTTGTCATGAGAGCCACTCGAACAAGAAGTCCAGCTCCCACGGCCACTGTCAGCTGCGTCGAGCGAAGCTCTGTCCCCCTGGTCCTGTGACAGCTCTTCTGTACTAGGAGAAGAAAGTACAGTTGCTCCAGCATACAGGCCTCTGGTCTCTGACAGCGGTGCGTATGAGCTGGATACACATTGATGAGGGGACAAAAAATCCAGTGTTGGAATTGGAAATCATGAACAGGATGCACAAAGAAACAACCAAAGAAAAACAAAACACGCTATGGGTTGGACTACGTAACCTTCATGACATTTTAAAGGTCACTTTCCACCCAAACCATTCCATGATTCTGTGGTGGAAGATTTTGATGCACTTGATAGTACTTATTGTTTGCAGGAATGGCTAATTCACTTTTGAGAATATAACACTTTTCTTTCAAGTACATCCTCAATAAAACAAAACCAAACACAAACAAACAAACAAAACTCTACAGACAACTTGGTGAAGTCTTACACTTCAGCAGTGTAATTTCAAAAGGTAAAATCTTAACTTCACAAGAGCCTTTTAAGACAGGCAAAGCACACAGACACACATACAGGGACACAGACAGGGTTATTCTACTACTTTTCCAGCCATACTGAGCAAATGGTAGAAAAAAGCTAGCTTTCAAAAGCTAGAAACAGAATTTAGCAGGAGCTGGCTGATATTCAGGTTTAGATCTCAGATTTTTTTTTTTCTGCTTAGAAAACCGTGAGAGCTAACTTTTCAACATTTCCTGCAAATGGAAATGTATTTTAGCCTTATTTTTGGAAACACATGCTACTTCATAGAGCAAGTATGTTTTCTGTAGCCTTTCAATGATTAAGTGAGCCTGACATGATTCCTTACACAGCAACAGATAAAATCAACAAAGTGTCACTTTTGCTTAGCAGATATCCAGGCTCCTGGGACTTGTTCTTCCAGGGCACCTTCATATGCAGACTAGAACCCTCTTCTTCCAAATATTTAAGACATCTGAATAAAGAGTTTGCATAGCCTGAGATTTCCCAAAGCTGAAGAACAGCAGTTTTGGAACAGGTCTGCCATTCAAAGACCCTGCAGTATTAAAACCCCAGAAACCATTCAGAGGACTGAAACATCCAAATGTAAGTGGAGACTAAACAGGAGCCAGAGCTCCAATTATTTTCACACCAAGGCTCACTGCTAGAGATTTAGAGAACTCCTCACAGCACTAGCTTCCCCACCATTACAGAAGTTAATTACCTAGAAAATTACTAGAAAACCAGCAGCGCAATGTGAATTTTAGCTTCCAATTATTGTTGACTGGAAGAGATATTTGGAGTAAAATATTTTGGAGTTAGATATGCACTTTTCCATGAAGCAGACTGGAAAATTGCTAGCTATTTCTGTTCTCAGTTTATCTCTGAATAATTGTTTGAATATCTCATCTAATTCAGTTAATTTCCCATGGAGAAAGCAGGCTAGGGTACCAGTCTGCCACAAAGTGGATAACCTATGGCACCACTGAAATGCTCAGATGGTAACATCTACTGAAGTGAAGTCTTGCTGCTCAGACCTCATCACTCACTCAGGAGTACAAAACCTTTTCTTGGCAGGAATGGAGCATTATCACAAAATGAAGCACTGAAGTAGTAGTTTTTTAAGAGCAGAGAAGAAAAAAATATTTGAGAGACACAAAGTTACATGGACAAATACACACACCACATACACACTATATGAAAGTATAATGTAAGTAAGCACAAATAAAATTCTTACCCTAAGCTGTATTGATCTGGTTCAATCATGATTCTTCTATCAATCCTTCCCACACCAAGATTTGTCTCCACGATGCTGACAGAATGCCTCTGTCTCCTCTCATCATGCAGGGGGACTGGCATAGAGTCAAAAGAAGAATTGCTGACAATACTAGATCTAGAAGAAATTTCACTGTGACCAGAGTCGGAGAAGTTATCCACAGTGCTGCTTGGAGCCAAAGTGTAGCCTGGAAAGGGAACACAGCATTAATCAGACTCTCCATGATGCCTGCTCACTTCTTGTCAGGCCACGGGCAATACTGCAATAAAACTGGCAATAAAACAAAGCTACCATTACATTTACACAGCACTGCAAAAGATAAAGATACATAACAAAACTGTGTGACACTGTCTTTGGTATCTTAATCTGAGATAGAGGATTGTGGGAACATGTACTACTCATTTACAAACCAACTGTTCTCCTCCCTCTGCTCTCCTCTCCTAAATTCTTTTCAAATTCATCATCACACTTGTACCCTCACATTATGAAATATTATGTCTCAAAATCTGCCTGTGAATAAACACTGTCTCCAAGACTGGAAGGAAAGAGATGGTCTGGTTGAGATTACTGCTTAAAGTAATCCCAGAGACTGTCTCATACAGTCTTTGTATTCTGCAGAGCTACACTTCAGAGATGAAGCCTGATGTCTGGGCTGACTACTTATTACATATCTTAGCTGAGAGAGGGGCAGGTTTTCAAGTTTTCTTTGAGATGCTTGGCTCACTAATTACTTCCAAATTCATATTACTGGAATTATGGTGAAATTTGGAGGTAGGTAGCACTGACATGGCCTGAGATAAAATCTGCAAGTCGTGGCATAGAAGCAAATTCAGCAAATTCAGCTTTTCTTTCAGTATTAAACAAATTGTGCTGAATGTTCTTGCCAACTAAGTTAAAGATCATTAAACACATCCACAAGTCACCAGTTCTCATATTTTGCTTTCACTCTAATCCTAAGTGGCAGAATTACTTCAACTGATCTACCCCAATTCACTTGCTAAGAACTAATGCTGGGAAATAATGCTGTAATTTTTATCTGAAAGAACATATCATTAGCTTCACGTAACCATCAAACTAAGGATGTTTTTTTTAATCATGTTTATTATTTGCTTTTTGAAAAAATAAAGTGTTGTTCACACTATGAGTCAAGTACAGAATTCCAATTCCTTTTTCAAAAAATGCATAGGCCTGACCATATTTATATAAATTCCCTCTTTGCTAATGTAGTGTTTGGGAGAAATAATGATGACAGATTACAAGGACTCAAGATGATATAACCTCTACATATTATCTTCCTCCATCTGACTTTAGTAAGTAACACTTCAATAGAAATCACTTCAGTCCCAATGTATATTTTACCATAATGCTCTATTATGCAACTGTTAAACTGAACTTTTATGCTATTGTGAAAAGAGAACTACTTAGAAGTTACATGCAATACATCTAGCCTATCATATTTCCAAAGTGTGGAAGTATGTTTAAATTACAGGGCAATGCCTCCTGTATTTTGTCAATTCATAGCCAGAACTACAACTACTATGAAAACAAACAAGAAAATAGGTTTTTTTTAAAAATCCCTTTAAAGTCCTAAATTCACTTTAAAAAATAACCCTGAAATTACTTAAAAATATCTTGGTCAAGAAAGCTCCAATGGATAATACCATTCCTCAAAAATCCATACACATGGTTTAAATAATCAGGTTGCTATTAAAATATTCTGTAGTACAAAATATAAATCACAATATTAAATATTCTGATTTGAATTCCAAATACCTTAAGCCTTTCTGTCATATGTAGGTCACATCCCATTCAGATGCATGACACAGCAAATAATTCCTCTGATAGACCAGTGTGGTCAATGCTGTACAAAGATCTTAAGTTTCAACCTGTACATCCTTCCACTGAAGGCAGGGAAATGCTGATCATAGGAATATTTTTTGTCAGGAGCAGCTGCAGTCAGAGTGACCTGCTGCATCAAATCCTGTGTCATACCAGGCTATCTTTTCTGGCTTTTGATCACCAGAGGGCTTTCAGGTACCCTTGAAACCAGGTTTACAGCTACCTTTCATGTATCCCACTCTGCACTACATTTTCTGCCCTTTTGCTGACCGTATGTGACAAAAATAGGAGCAGCAGAATTGAGTGTCCAAATTCTCTCTCAGAATCTTCCCAAGTCCATGAGCTTCAAGAAACAGAACAAGAAATATTGAACATCTACTACCTTTCCTTGGAGAGCTCTGTGGTGAAGTAGGAGGAGAAGACAGCTGTGAAGATGCACTTGAGACAGCGTCTTCAGATTGTTTCTTGTGACGATCCAAACTTCCTTCTTCTGATAATGAAAGGATTTTCTTTAAAGCTTGTGGGGAGTTAATGCCTTTAGGTAAGAATTAAAGTAGACAGGTTTAAAGTCCAGTATTAATACATCCTTACGTTTCACAATGCATTTCTAGAGCAGACACTGCACAGGAAGAAAAAGCTACATTTTTTCCCTGTATATTTCTGAGTTCCTGACACCAGCTCAAATGAAGCAAAATATTAAAATGCATTCCCATTTAAAATAGAGTGCTTCATTTCTGCATATTAGTACAGATGGTCTTTCATTCTGGCCACTTAAGATAAATACTTTGCCACAGAAAACATTAAGATTTGATGTTGCAGAATACTGCCTCAACATATAATTGAGGATATGCATAGGAATGGTTACTGAGAAACTTGAACTAAAATTAGCTTAAATACAGACACACACCCATCTCACTGGTTAGTGGAGATGTATATAGTAAGAATTCAAACTGCTCTCCTGTTTCTTTTCTATTCAGAGTAGCCTAGAAGGTCAAAGGAAGCTGGAAAGAAAATTAATAAGGATTAAGCTTATTAAGAAACAAGGCCATCCTGCAGCTGCCTTTCTCTCTTTCATTTTTGAGAACTATCTCTGCACCAGCTTATTTTGGGAAACTACAGAGTAAAAACATCCTGAAGATGATGTGTGATGTAAAGATCTAGGGCATCAGGAATTGCTTTTCCCAGACCACATTTATTCATCTTTCTCTTCCTTTCCCCTCAAAGATCCACCCTGGGACAGCCTTATAAGTGAAGACAGAGTTTCTCTGACAGTTTTGCCAATGTTTGTGGTACAGGTTATTTTCAAGCATTCGTGGACTTTTATCTTTGATGTGTTGGATCACAATCCTGCTATCAATAATTCACAGCTGCCTGATCATCATAACCTAGTCAGTTTTCAGAAACTTTGCCACTATGAGCAAAAAAATTGCAGTCTACAAAGTTTCAAAGTATTTTAAGATTAAAATTTAATGGTAAAATCAACAAGATCTAGATGAATATTGAATTGTTTCTTGCTCATTTTGCTGCTTCTAATGCTTTGTTGCAGCCTAAGCAGTGCATGAGGAAAACCAATAAAGAGTGAAATCAGAATTAAGCTCTTGTGCAATAACCATCATGAAAAAGGAAGGGCCCGTTATGCTACATATACTTCTTAGGGATTATGGGAACAGTATTACCATACTTGTAATTTAAAGAGTTCATTAATAGTGCATATATGTTTTGTACACATGTTGGGACACAGATTTGGGAATCAGGGTAGGAGAAGTTCCTATAGTCTGGTGCCTTTCTGTAGAATATGGAGGTAGCAATAACTGTATAACAACAATAAAAAAGCAGAAGGGAGTAGAAGCCTTTTGAGGCCAGTTTGAGCAGGCCTCAATTTCACCTTAAAAATCTAACTTGTGAAGTGACACCAAAACTTCTGAGGCATCTCAAGAACTCCAAGTCCCCAGTTCCTCTAGAAAAGTTAAGGCAAATTCCCAAGGCAAACAGTGAGAAACATTTATTCTTCCTAGCTGCTAGTAATAGGTAAATACTTACACTGATGAAATTGACAGGATTCTTTCCCTAGATTTCTTTCTTTCCATTTCTAGAGAAGAGAACAATGCCTAGACACTGCATGGACAGGTATAACCTCCATATCATACTACCAGAAATGGAAGTCTGAACCTTATTTGATTAAAAATGTCTTCCTGACGTAGACAAACAAACTTCAGAAAATTAAACCAAATTCTCCCTTGTTCCACCTACCGAATGGTGGGAGGTCTTTGACTGGCACCTTCTTGCGAGAGGGATAAAGAGACACGGCTGGGACCTGCAGTGCTTGGTTTACTTTATGCTGCTGCTGCACTTTCTGCTGGATGCCTGCCCGGGGAGCCACTGGTGACGTTTCAGATTTCCCAGGTCGCTTGTCTCCCGTGTTCTTCGGCACTTTGCAAGAAAGGGGACAAAACATTGAATGACTATTAGCCAAGGACACAGTGGTGTTTTAGTCTGAGCACTACAAAGCCCTCTGATGAACAATTAAAAGGTGCTCAAATACTTGTCCAATTAATACAGCATGATAACTTTAGACAGAAAAGATGAAGAGGAAAGGAGAGGGAGATGTACTCCATTTAAAAGATGTACATTATCAATTATCAATGAATGTTTTCTTTCTAAAAATAAAGCTCTGATATATGACCACTGTTACAAAAAAACATGACCAGAAGTTATACTGGGCTATCATAAGGACTACAACTGATTCAGAACCAACATATAATTACTTTTTTTTGCTATCCTGCAGGAAGGGAAGGGCACAATATACAACATTTTTTAAAATTAAAATTAAATGGATATCCAGGATAAGTTTCCCCTCTGCTGCCCCAGGTACACCCTCCAGGCATCTCTGAAACACATGGACATAAGAAAATCCCCTACTCCCTTAGAATAGCCATATTGCTATTCACACTAATAACCTCAGTATATCAGAAATATAGAAGAACTTTTGCTCCTCTATACCCTCTGTACAGACAAATCTAAAACATCATTGTGCACTTCATTGAGATGTTATCTTAAACCCTTATCACCTGTATAAATACTGTGTCTCTATCCTGTTAATCCACAAGATTATTTCCTTAGGATTCACAGATGTTTAGTACTTGAAAATTACTAGATTAATAATTTTCTACTTCAGTGTCTAGTTACTGTTCCCAATTGGTTCACTGGACTAGAACTAGAGCTATATTCAACAGTTTTCTGAAATCCACAACAAATGACAATGCTCACATGTGTTCGTGGCTGGCTCACACTGCAGAGAGAGTGTCTGCAGGCTCTCTTCATCCATTTCCAGATCCAAGTTTGAGAGGTACTGCTTCACTTTCCGTGCCATCTGAGCATCTTCATAGAGCTTTTTAGCATTAAGAAAGGAGCTGCGACGGACCCGCTTTTTATGCCCCCCTGCTTGTGCAACATCCAGCACGGCTGCGTTGGCACTGCCCTGGCTGAGAGACCTGGAGTGAGGGGGGCAGGAGGGGAAAGAAAGACAGCAAAGGTATGACTTAGTCCAACATGGTGCCACCCAACAAACATGAAACGTGCAAGAGATTGCATGAATGTCAGTCTACGGTCAAAGCTTACATGCCTCATTCCAGTAAGTCAAACAGCTATAACAGATAGAAAAATGAAGGACAGGAAATCTTTTTCACTTGGTTAGGGGCACCATTTTAATGGCACAGATATTTTAACCTATTTTGCTCCAACTAGGCAATAACACTTCACACATCTAGAAAAGCATTCAAGGTAGCATTCAAATCTCACATAAGGCATCTACTGAGAGGACTGGAGCATTAGGAAAAGCTCATGCAGTAAGGCAGTGCTGACAGAAGACTATAATTGAGGTTCAAATTCAAATACATATGAAGGAGGTATTTTGAAAGCACTCTGTGTTTTAAATCAGACTGTATACAAAATGTACAACTCAGTTTTACAGAAAAGAACTTCTTCATAACTTGCAAGACTGTTTAACAAAACAAAATGATCAGCTAATTCATGATGGAATACATGTCATGCACATTTCAATGTATGTATATCTACATGAACTCAATGCATTGGTCCTGAATTGTTAAGGTAAAAATGATGGCTAATTGTAATATGAAAGTAAGTTAGTCAAGCAGATACTGTAAATTTTAACTTCTGAATTTGAATGGTGATAATTGTTTAATAGGTATAAGGAAATTAACAGCCATTTTCAGCTGTTGCAACCTTGTCATTTTGTAATTTCATTTTGACCAAAAGTCTCTTCCTTCATCAATTTAAACTAGAGATGGGAAAGAACACTCCACGTCTACCTATGACCACTTAAAAATAATTTACAGCTTCTGTGTTTTAATATCAAATCAAATGTATTGTCAGTAGAAAAGGGTTACAAAAGAAAAAAATGTCAAAGCACCAGAAAATTAAAGACAGCAAGTAGGAAAAAATGCAAATGGTAAAGGAAGAATGAATGTCCGTTGTGTTGTCTCCAACCACTTACCCCAAACTCCTCCATTTCTTCTTCCTGCAAGTGAGAGCCAGGAAGAATAAAGCATGGGTTTAAGAAGAGACAGAGAAAGATCACAAGCTCAGAAAGAAAAAGACCAGACCTCGAGACAAGCAGTTCTGGAAGCCCACAAACATTAAAAAGAGCCTTGACTTGGGCATACAATCAGATATTACAAACTCTTCTAGCTCAAATTAAGAAAAAAGAGTATGCAATAAGCTTGTCAAACATGAAGCCAAAGAGCATTCACTCCACGTTTTCTAACACAAGTAGCTGACACTGCTTCAGATACATTACCACTTCTACTAAATCAAAATTATAAGGCTGACACCCATCAATATTTCAAATGGACTAATAGATATGTTTTCAAGACAGTTTCTCTCCCTCCCACAGACAGAATCTCATTTTTATGACGTGACCATCAGCTACAGAATAGTGAGAAACATTTTAGAATGTATCAGTAACCACAAAACGTAATGGTTCCTCCAGTTTTAGACCACCACATCATGCTGGCCAATTGCTAACACAAAAAATTCATACTGCTCCAATAGAAGGGGCACAAAAAAGTCCTTCTTGCTGCCATCCAGCCTTCTCTCAGCTGGGGAAAGCTCTGGCTGGTACAACACACTTACCTTGTTCTAAACATGAGAGCAGGATCCATGTTCACAGACGCCATGCGACCGACATGGCGTATCTCCTTCGCAATCATCCGCAGCTTCTCAAAATTCACCAGGCCCTCCACTTTAGAATCATTTCCTACAACCAACACCATCAGTGATTAGGCAGGAAAGTTACTCTTCCTTAGCTAGAAAAAGGTGATATATTCTGCCTTTACCTTCATGAAGGAATGTGAGGTCTTTTTTGATGACAGGAAACAGGGGGATAATAGGGGGCTGTAGGTTTTGGCTGTTAAGGACATTACGATATTTTGCCATATTCCTAGATGGATCAAACAAGTCCTGTAGATCTTGAAACAGTTTTTCATACTTGCTTGGAAGCTTTTCCCAAGTAGTTCGGAGCCTTGCAACTGGTGCCAAATTCAGGCCACTTGAAACAAAAGAAGTGCAAAGCAGTTGAAGAACAAGAGAAAGAAACAAAAAATCCTAGAAAAGACCATGTTAAATTTTGTATGGTAGAAATACCACACAGCCAAAATACATTAGCACAACAGTGTCAATAAAATAACAGAAATTTAAAAACTTTTTGCCAGCATGTATTACAGAAGATCATTTTTACAAAAGCTATAAAAACTGGAGATATCTTATGATGCAACCATAAACAGAAAAAAAATTGCACTTGGATGAGTAATTAAATCTTAAAGAGGATATGTATTTGTTACTTAAAAACAGTGTCTGAGCTTGATAAGACTATCATAATCTAAGTACCTCAGGATGACTACTTACTTCCAGATTAACAAACTGGCAGAAAATATATATCTTCCACCTACATGATGATGTTCAGGTAGTGACAGCACACTGACCCACCTTCTTTCTGCAATAACACATCTGACATTGTTCTTTCAGGATGAAATTTTTTAACACTCTCTGTACCTGAGGTTATTCTCAAGCTGTAGCAGGTGCAAACCCCCTTCTTCCACTGTAATGACATTGACTGTCTTGCTGTTAATTTCTACCTGGTGGGTTAATTTCTACCTAGAGTCTTTCCTTCACTCAAGTTTTTCCTAGCAGAAAAAAACTGCTTTTTTCCTGCTTTTATTTCTCCTTGAGATGGCTGAAATAGCTGAACAAAATCTCAATATTTGGATGTCTCAGAGATGCTGACTGATCATCAGCACGGATCCCTGGCTTTGTAACTTGCCTCATTTGCTGAATAGTATTCAAACCTACTCATTTTTTTCCTACTCACAGTAAAAGTGTCACATTCAATCTGTTGACTGAATGTCAAAATGATGACAAGAGCTTGTGTCAAAGACAGTGATAACACTGTCAGTTTACCTCAACTTACTTGAGCTTTTTCATGAGAGACAATGTAGGGGGATTGTTTGTTTTTGTTTGGGTTCTAAAGAAAAAGTATAAACATAGACATTACAGTTTTCTCTCTTCCTTCTCATTCCAAAACTAAAAAATGTTTTCTGAGGCTTTCAGTACATTTTAAAATTCTTATTACAAGATCTTTATTTACAGACTATATTAGGGCATCACAGTTTGTTATCGATTATTTTCAAAGTTCTGTGAAAGAAACTGCTGATACAAAGGAAAAATAAATGTAATATATTATGACTGAATGAATTTAAGATACTGGGCAGTACAGACAAAAATGAGCTGCTTTGGGGAAATTAGTCCATTCATTTGCAACAATTGTGTGGTTTTCCTGTATATACCTGTTGTTTCTTTTGATCTTTTTCTCTAGAGCCATGTTCACCTTGCCAGCACTGTCTTGACCAGTAAGTACGTAACAGTAGCATTTCAAATAATATTTCAGCAAACATTTCAAATTACCAAAAATGCCCTCCTTAGCAGACTGCCAAGTGTTGATGTTAGCAGTATTAAACTGGTTTACTCTATTAAATACGTTTTTTTTTTTTTTAAAGACCAGCATAAGTAAGACTTTGTTTTTTACTTAGAAGTAAAATTATTAGTGGGCAATACCTAATGATGGCAAACATCGAGTTGAAGTTCTTGCATTCTCTGCAGTGTAGCGCTATCTTAATGAAATGCTTAATGATCTTCATCCTTTTCAGCTGGTTGGTTTCTCTTAGAATCTCAGAAGCCACCCAGAAGGTTTCTTGATTTATCACCTCTTCAAACCTTTTTAGATTAGTGCAACCTGTTTTTGATTTGAGTTTAAATAAGTCATCTATGTATTCTGTGGGTTCGATATTACGGAACAGCTCAAAGTTTCTCATGGAGAGTTGGGTAGCCACCTCAACAGTACTGAGCTGTAGTAGGGAAATTTGGCTTTCCCTTAGTAACTCTTGGGCATCTTCATCTGAACAAAGAGTTTCTGTTTCCATGTTGTTCTTCAGGTAATACCTGTAAAAACAAAATTCAGAAAAAGAGACTATTATATTGGATATAATATACCCAATTAGTGCTGAGGGTTATCTTTGAAGATCCAGTTGGAATCTGAGAATAAAATTAACTTCACCAGGCCTAGGTATTAATGACACATTGCATAACCAGCAATGTGTTGCGAAGAAACAGAACATTAAATAATTAAGTAACACTCCTTTAACAAGATTTTGACTTCATAAACTGGCATCATCAGCTTTAGCTCAGTCTCCATCTTACCTGCCACTCAGCTGTATCCTGTCAGCAAGCTTGGACAGCTGATCAGGGAGCCTCCTCTGCTTGATGACACCCTCAGGTGTGACAGAGACCTCGCACAGTGAATAGGCATCAGGGGTTGCAGTCAGAGCAAATTCCCTGATGGCCTGGATGACCACTTCCTTTGCTGTTGTGTCCTTGCTGATCATTATGTAGCGACTTTGCTGGTCTGCCTTGAAAACCCGCAGAACTTGGTCTGGTAAGTCTGGAAAAAAATTACAAGCAAGTCATGCAATTTAGTAAGCAAAGAAAAATAAAAACTCAGTGGTGTAAGAATGAGTATTTGAGTTTAATCATTAGTGTTACCAGTTTTCACTTCAGTAAAAGTCCTGATGAAAAGCTAGACTCTTACTGATAAAGAATATCTTCAGTAAAAACTAGTTCTATTAACATCCAGAAAAAGAAGCTAGTTAGGCTATAAATGGAGCAAGCCACAAAAATATGTTAATATTTTCAAAATTTGGACAGACAAGCTAATAAGCATAAATATATTGAAATCCAAACCCATTGATTCAGATATCCATCACTGGGAGTTTTAACCTCAGGTATTTTTAACTGACATGTATTTCAAATAATTTAATTTCTTCCCTCTGTTAGAAATAAGCTTTTCTAGTTTTGTGAGGCGTGACATCTACTCATTTTTCTTTAATAAGTTTCTTCTTAAAAATAATTAATTTTTTTAGATTAAGGAAGATACAAGCAAGAAAATATATAATAATAAAAAGCTTTCTAAATGAAGGCTTCTGAAATGACTATCATAATAAAATAATGAAAAAAACCCTGCCAAATGAAAACATTCACTTTGGTACAAGTAGAGGTTTTTTTGACAAGACCTGAATGTGCATAACATGTATTCAAGTTACTACAGAAAGATCTATTCAGCATCAGAAATCTTGTGACAAAAGAACAGAACTGAACACCTCCCCACTGCTCTTGCATGTTTCCAAAATAATAATTTGGAAATCATTAAGATGAATCTCTCTGATATGAGTGTATTTACATGCCACAAAGGCTTTTTAGGCTTAAATATATGATTTTACAAATTTCATGCAACTAAGCCCATAACTTTGAAGCTCACAGTAGTTTTTTGCAGCTTGAGAAGCACTAATACTAGAACACACTAACACTGTTGGATTACATTATCAGTTACACATAAAGGATATCATTACAGGCCAGCTTTTAGCCCTTCCTAAGCATTTGAGTCAAATTCACAAATACTTCACAACAAGCAAGCCAATTTTGCCTTTTATCACCTACTCTACACTGACCCATCTTCCTTCAGTAATTAGTTGAAGGAGGATACAGAGCAGAATATTTTCTGAAATATTTTCTACATTTTTTGACATCTGGAGGAAGGCAGATGCCAAAGACACAGGTTTTGGAGATGTTATTAAAAACCAGACCCTTCTCTAGATCTTGCTGCCTCTTGCTGTTACAGAAATATTTGCCAAAGAAATGCTGTGAAGTTGAGAAGCTACTGAAAACAAGTACCAAGGTGAGAAACTGTTTAACAGTCCCTAGAAATAAAGTGCTTCGTGCAACAAGAAAATAACCTGCTCTGCTGGGTCAGTGAAATCAATACGAAGAAACGCAGAGGACAGCAAGTAGAGGAGTCCCATCTTTGCACTGCATTTTAGCACCCAATTTCTCAGGCTGCCTACCTATCAGGGCTGTGAGGGAAAGCTCTACACAGAACACACAGACGTCTGCCAGCAAGTGAAATGATTGCAGCTATAGCAATGGTAGCAAGTAATTCAGCCCACTAATTTTTAAATAAAACACTTGAAGAGAATTGTAATCACCCCCCTTCACTGGTTTTCAAAAAGAGAAACTGGAGTGGCAGGCTGAAGAATGCAATGCTGTATGATAGGAATCTATTCCCTTAGAAAGATTGTGAGGGGAAAGAAAAAATACCAGTGACTGGCAGTTCATCATTACTCTATTATTTTGACTTCCAATCAAATAGCAAAGGCAGCACAAGAAAAGAGAAATCAAAGTGCTATTGAACATTTAAAAATAAATCTTTAAAAGTATATTTGAGACAGCCTGATCCAATCAGAAGAGAAACTAAAATGACTCCTTGCAGATTTCAAGCTGTTCACACTTTCTCCTCAAAGACTACTCTTCTAAAAGGAGCAAGTTGTTTTATTTTTTATCCTGAGGGATATTTCTCAAAGCCTCAAAGGACAGCTGCTCTACCCATTTCTCTTTCTCCTCCAGTGCATTCAATTTCTTGCAAGCTGCCTCCATTTCCATCTTTAATTTAGACCAAGGTAGTAAAAGGAATTAAAACTGCAGGCTTTAATTTTTTCAAGTCTTGAAATATATAGAGATATAATTCAACTCTTCTATATACAATGCAACCATCTCTAAAGTCCTTAAGGTATATGCTTTTCATTTCAAGCCCCGTTTTCCTTGCTTTCCACTCAGGAAACCTTAGAATTACTTTAAAAATATTCAGTGTGTGGACATTCAGGCAAAAACAAACAAAATGAAAACAATGTTTTGGTTTTTTTTAATGAGGAAGAAACACATTTTCTGCAAAGACATGGAAAAACTGTTAAAGCATTGTAGCAATTGCACTACATCATATTGATCTCCTTTCCTCAATGCAAAATGCAAACAGTTGAACCTTATTCATTTATCAAGCTTCTCTGAACTCCCTCTGTAATTCAAAGGTCTTTAAGCCTGCAATGGCTTTCCTTCTCATGGAAGTTTGTTCCAGCTGCTTGAGTCAGCAATGCCCACAGCGCTGGAAGTTGGCCACTTGCTGCACTTAGCATCACCACTTTAATTACCTAGATCTGTTTGGTCTAGGTAAGTGGCAAGCTAGAGAAAGGAATTTTCACCATTTATAGAAAAAGTCCTGATGAAAAGCTATGCTCTTACTGATAAAGAATAGCTTCAAGGTGTTGGACACTAGTCATTGGAGAAAATACAAAAAACTATTCACTTTCCAAGTCTCTCAGGATCAATCTTAGGCACTGGGGCAAAAATCACAAACCACCTCCTTGCAATCTCCTCCAGCCCTAAAACACTTGGACAGAACAATGTTCAGTATCACAGTTTCAAGCACAATGATTGCATCAACTTGGCCAGGGTGTAGGCTGATATTTAAGCAGCATCCCTTTAGCTAATCCTTTAGGTAATGTTTGAAATCCCTCAGTCTTAGGAGGGCACTGAATTTTCAGTTCTACATTTGAGTAATTCTCTAAAGATTAGGCTAAAATAACCAAGTGTCTGCTGAGCTACCATCACTAGATCCTGCTCCGGAAGCTATATTTTAACAGCAAAGACTTGGATACTTAACTCAGGAAAGGTTTTCTACTAAGAATCCTCCTGCAGCCAGATAAGAGCCCAAATCCCAACCCTACCAGGAGCTCCAGCTAAACCAGTTTTATAAGATAAGGCTCTCAAGTTTCTCCCCCTATTTCTCCCTCATTCACCCCTGTGCTTTGATCCTCTCTAAATGTGTTCATTTTTTATCTATTTCAGAAAGGGATTATATATTCAAAGATTTTGGCATACAGCTGTAGGGCAGGGTGACTAACAAGAAACCTTAAAACTCTGTCCCTTACAAATTTAGTACAAATTATATAAGTCTGTGCAGAAGAAGACTGAAATACATGTCTTGTGTCCCAGCCCAATATCCTTTTCCTTTACTATAAGCTAATGATCTGCTATGCCATTTGAAAATATTGCAGTCTTGAAAACAATGATCCATTGAGGCAAATTATAAAATACCAAGCAAAACAGGTTTTTACTGACCAAGAACATTCAATCAGTAAAAAGCACTCTGTATACAGCATACATGAAAAACAGACATCTATTATATGTGGGTAAAATATATTGTAGCAAATGTAATAAATCCTCATGCAAGAATTTGTGTATGACAGCAAACAGTTAATAAAAACTCACAAGCCTCTTCAGACTCTACAAATCCACACAAAAAAACCCTGAACTGTGAGAGGAAATTAAAAGGTCAAGAACTACAATAAAAAAAGGATCCTTACCTGGAGTAGTATTAAAGTCTAAGATGCGGTGATGAGACTGCAGCAGGTCAGGATTACTGGATGACAGGGTTCCACTGACAGGTAAAGCAGGAGGAATGTGCTTTGTTTGCCTCAGTCCCACAATGCTGTCATCCTGAGACTGGCCTATTCCAATGTCACTGCATTCAGAAACAAAATCAGGACTTACAGACATTCAGAGATTGGCTATACTAGAGGGATTCAGTGATTTCTCTATTGCTATGTTTTCATACTTTCAATTGCTGATACAGCAATTGCTATTTAGAAGTCAAAGTTCTCCAGACAACAGGACTTGCTTTGTGAACAGTCCACTCAGAGTGACTCGATTTGCCTGCTAATACTGCCAGAAGATCCTCACCATTAAGCTCTGAGGAGTTGCTAGGCTCATCTTTTAATGATTCTGGCCAATATGTTCATTCAAAAGGTGGTACACACCTCATCATTCTTGCATCAGCCCATCACCCAAACTTTGAGTAATACGGCTGTTCCCTCAGTGCTGCTTTCAGACCTGGACTTCAGATTTTTTATCCCATCACAGACAGGATCTGCAACTATATTTGTGATGTATTGTATTCATACTACATAAAATCTTTCAACAGACGGACGAGAGAGGATAATTGGAGATCATTTGGTTTTCCCCACCCTGTATCACTTCTCTGAGTGTCTCTCCACTCAGTGTGACTGAAGTGATACCAGGTAAGCTAAACAGCCACACTTGGGTGCTCTAAGTATCCTCTCCAAAGTACCTGGCAGCTGTAAATAAAGTATTCTGTGATAAAGGTGAAGGGTTTTATCCATTAAATTGTGTAAGGCAGGGTCCCACAGGAGATCAGTAGTGCTAGATGGATCAGAGACAGCTATCATCATGTTATAGTAGGCACTGATTTGCTTATTGCTTTTGAGTTCACAATAATGTAAAGCAGAACACCAGCCACAAGATATAGAGCTGGAGACAGCCATTGAACTTTTCTCTAAATATACAGATCAAAACCCTTAATAAAATACTCAGAGGGTATAAAATGTTGAATTACAGTCATTATAGAAAGTGAAAAGCATCAAAAATGTAGCAAGTATAGGCAAGGCCTTTCTAAAAGCCAAGCATGTCTAAATCTGTATCTACACATTTAAATAAAGCATAAACCAGAATTTGGACTTTGTTGCAAACGTTACAACTAAGTCAGTCTAGTAAATTAAATGGTGCAACACAAATGACCACTTGTACCCTAATGTTGGGCACTTAAGCCTTTGTATAGTGTTCCTAAACAGAAGTAATAAAGGCTAGATAATTACCCTGATAGCTGTTAGAGCACCAGTATCCTCTTGTGCTTACTGATGAATAACTCTACACCGTGCACTCTTGTACCACTTCTTTAAGTGCTACGAATTGAACAGTAGTCTGGAAAGCTACAACAGTATCTGAGCACTAAAGACACATTTTTTAATGATACAGACACAACGGCCTTTGAGAAGGCAATGTATGGTATTGCTCTGTGTTGTGTTTGGGTTTTCTCATTGTTTTACTTCTAAAAAAACAAGCAAACTCTGTATTACCAACACACTTCTATGAATTGTAAACCTCAAGCCATCAGAGTGACAGAAACACTCAAGTCCACTGGAAACAGATATAGGATTCTCTCTTTAATCAGAAGTTAAGGTGAATCTAAACATTTGTATTTTTGTACTTCCACATCAAGCACAAAATACTGTGACAAACTCATACTGTGAAGGTGCTCAGCACACAGCACCTTCATGCTAAGCCACAAGCAAATAAGTCTTTCACTGCGACCAAAAGAATTGCCAGCAATCAATATCAGGTCCTTCAAGCAGGAACCACTGCACATTTTAAAAAAAGAAAGTAAACAAAAAACCCTGCAGCCCTAGTACCTCAAAATGTTTTCTGGTGGCTCTAAACGACTATATACCAGATTTCATAAATACTGCCAACAACAGTATTTTCTCTAAATTCAAATCAAATTAAGACAGTGTGAATCTTATATTAATAGTTTCACTTGCATTATGCATTCCTTTTGCAGTTTGCCAGTTTTATATAATCTTATACCTATCCTGTGCGTCATGACTGAGGCAGCTTCAGTAAAGTGGATCAACTCTGAAATGTTAGGTTTAAAAGCAAAAAAACTGTCTTAAATTGTGCTGGAGTTTCAGTCTTCATATAATTGGAAATCCCTTACTTGACACTCAGTCTACTCTACTTTTAAAACTTAAATTAGAATCTGAGTTCTAACATATGCAAACAAGTCATGAACTCTAGAAATATCAGATAAAAGAGCAACACTAAAAAAAATCCATGTCCCATGAAGAGGTACTGTTAGGTAAAATATTTTATTATGCCAATGAAAGAAGGTTGTGGTTTTAAGGAAACAGCATTTCTATTGCTTTCGGTATGCACCTGCCGTGCAGGGTGACAGCATATTAACTAAGAAATAACTTTCCTGCTGAATAACAAAGAGGGTGGAAGGGATAATGAAATAACAGACGTATCTGAATGCTTCTTCCTTCAGAACACAAAATCCTGTGCACCCCACTCCAGGGCTGCAGAGAGGAGAGAGACAGGGGCTGCTGCTTTGTCTGGGATGCTGCACTATGGACCAGGCAGAACTTTACTAGAGAGGGAGGTGGGGATTGTATTTAATCCTTTTTTGGACCAATTGAGCCTACAGAGCACAAAATCACTCTGCGTCAGAAAAGTAAACAAAGAGCTCCAGGGGAGATTGTACCTGGAACCCAAGAGATGTCTCACAGACAGTGAGGAGATTTCCCTGTAGGTGCTGTTTGCTCCATTTGGGAAGTTATTTAACCTTATTGAACTAGAGCAAGACTGAAGGAAGGCATTACCTCCTGCTCAAACTGATTCATCTTTGATACTGATTTAATGTCTCCTGAAGCAGACAAGCTCCCTCTAAGAGCGACCTCATTCTAGTTTAAAGATTGGTTTTGTCTGGGTACATCCTCAAGGCACTGGAGCCTTCTGCAGTCTTCATACTCAAAAAACAGTGGACAGTTTCACCTCTTAAGCCAGCTGAGTCACGAAGTCTTTAAATGCCTACTTTAACTAAAGAGTAAATCAGCTTTCTCACCCCTCTTGACTTTCTTATATGCAAAAACGTGAAACTAGGTGAAGTCCCTTAATATATGCAACACCAGTAATTAAAAGGAAGAATGAGACTGATGCTTTTACACAATAGGGGGAAGAAAAGCACAAACACTAAACTCTATAGCCGCAGATCTCTATGCAGAAACTGTGCAGACAAAAACAAGTGAATGCCAACAGGCTTTGCAGACAAACTGCTATGTATAACACATAAAGCTGTGCTAGCAAAAAGAAAATAAAATAGGTCAAGTTTTTCTGAATCTTACCCAAAGAGGTCCCTGCACAGAAAAGGTGTAAATATGAAAGAAAATAAAGGGTTTAAAAAAAAAAAAGAAAAATCAACATGAAAATTTTATGCAAGTACTATGAACCATAGTGACCAATGCAGAAAAACAGACCTAAGTATGCACAGCTCATCAGAGAAACAAACATGCAAGACCAGTTAAATAAAGGAAAACATGCTAAAGACAAACAACACAAAAAGAGAATTTACAGATTCTCCTTTTATTGAAAGGTACTGCCATTTATTGAAGAAACATCCATTATTCATGTATAATAGTTTATATTAATTTAATAATTCTATTACTAAGATTCTATATATAATTTTCAGAATAGTTTTCATTTAGTAGGCAATATCTAACATCAGGTAAGCAAATTTTTTTAAGTAATGGCAGGAAAAAAAGCCCTGCATTTTCAGCAGGGCCGGAAAAAACAAGTGTCTTTTTTTAACATTTATATGGAATAGATTCTTCATTAGTGGGACACAGGAAAGAAAAATGCAAGAGAAAAGACTGATCGCACAACTACCCTCTACAATTAATTTTCCCGCATCAATACCATTTGCCTTGGCCAAGATCCAGATTCCCATAATATCATATAAAATTCACTCTTCTACTTTTGCCAGCAATTTTCACAACTCTATTTCTAAAATGTGTTCATAGAGCAAAAGCTATCAGGTAGCATATTTAGCTTTCATTAAAAAAAAAAAAAGGCAAATCAAAAAACAACCCACAATAAAAAAACCCACACAATTCCACCAAAGAACCCAAGTTAAAATTTGTTAAAATTTTAACCTCACTATCCTTACAGCAGCACATAAAAATTGTTATAGACCACTGGAAGGTGGATACATTGAAATCATAGCTCATACCAACCCTTTGCAAGTAACCTGCCTGCAGAATTATTCCGAAATAATTTCAGTTAACAGACCTCTTAAAAGAAAAAGGGAAATGATGTAAAGAAGTATTTGTGTCATTACTTTATCTATAAGAAAAAAATACATCTAAATTGATGTCAGGAGCTGCACTGTTAGCAGTCTATGCTTGTTCAAATATTCAGAATGGATTTTTTTTCTGGTATTTTTTCAGATATAAAGATGATTTGTATTAATAAATAAAAAGGTATAATCACAAACTATGAGTTCATTCAGAATTCTTATCATTTAATGCAGAGGAAATATTTAGGAGGAAATAAACTCACTTGTATGGTTTCTGAGGCAGAATGCTGATTCGAGTCTTGTCAAGTATCTTCTTTAACTTATTTCTTCCCCCAACTGTGTTGGCTTTACTTTTCTTATTTACTTTTTCTAATCCTATTACCTGCTCCACATCAACAGCAAGGTCAGGGATGGAGTAACGACTGGCCTTTTTAATATCACCGATCTTAGGCAGGTGGGGAGCACCATTTCTTTTTTCCTCTGACAACCTTGTTAAGAGTTCTTTAAAAACTGCACAAGACAGAAAAAGGGAGGTAAGAAAAAGGACAAAAATGTAAAAGAAAGCTCTGTGCACCAGAACAGTTAATATTAAATATTAATCATTTAAAAAAAAATATTAGAATATTCTGTCAATTCCAGCATTAAATTAATTTAGGTATAAGACTTCAAAAACATGTTTGCTTTTAAAAATGACATTCATTTTCTGTAGCATGAATCAGAAAACCAGTTAATTGGCCCAGCCTAGAAAGGAAATACACAGGTGCCCACATGGTTACACGGATGGTATCAACAGAAGGAATTTGACTTTTTAGTTTAAGGACAAAGGCTTCTGCAGAATAGCAGAAGAGCACATTAGACAAAAGTAAGATAGAAAAATAAAAATGAGAAGGAAGTTTTAAACAGAAAGGCAGCAACAAAAGCTTTCAGGTGGACAAGAAATTATTAGCAACAGCATCAAAAAATTAGAAGGGAAACAGCAACAAAGTCATAAGGAAAATAAAGCAGGAGACTACTGAGACACCTTGGATGTTAGACAGGGCTGTTGTATCCATCTGTCAGAAATACCAAAAAACCACTCATTCTCCCTCAGCTCCCTAGCAAAGAGTCAGCTCTGAGGCAGAAATATCTGACAAATTTGTAAATTAGTTCTTCTACTGCACCTTTGAGTCTCAAAAAAAAAGCCAAAATATTTTAAAAAAATCAAAACTGAACTGGAGAGCAAGTCATGTATTCTGAGTGTTAGAGGAACTCTCCATACAAAAATGGAAAAAAAATGATGATTTACAATAATAAATGGAAAGCGATAATTAAAACTAAGCAACTGTAGAAAAACATAAGAACAAGGACAACTAACTAAGGATGAGTATTAGGGGCTATGTTTTACTGTTATTTATTAATTTTGTCCTCAATATTCTCTCATATCTAGAGGTACAACAAATTACCAAGAGACTGCAAAAGCTTGAAGTAAGACACAAAAATGGAGGAGAGTAAACCCAGTAAACCCAGCTTGTATAAACTGTACTGCTGAATAGGACTTAGAGGCTGGAGAGAGAAATTAGCTACAGATAAGATGTTGTTCAAAAAAGGAAACTCTCATTTTGGGATTTCTGAAGAAATCCTGCATGCAATACACACAAAGTAACTGCTCTGGGACTGTACTGTAATCTGATTTCAGTATTTGCTCTGGAGCCACAAGACAGAAAAATTAGAAAAAACACTTCGAAGAAAGGCAGAAATCAGGTTTAATCTTTAACAGAGTAAAGTAACACCTGAGATTCAAACACCCAGTGTGAGGAGGATAGTTACAGATCTTACACATAGAGAAACAAGAATATCCAGCTAAAAAAGCGTGTCCAGATATATTAAGAAATGTCTCTAATTATTAGAAACAACTGAAAGAATCTTTACTGCAAAGCAGAAAAAAAATGTCCCAAGGAAACAGATTTGACAAATGACTTTTAAGACTCTTTGACCAATGACTTCTGGAAGGCAAACTAAATCTTCAGTTAGTGCAGTGATGTGCTGTGGTAATATTCTGCCCTACTTACTTGTGATGAAGAACCTGATCCTGAAAGAGATACTCAAGGAACACATCACTAAATTGTATAAATAATCCAAGTACCCAGTGGTAAAAAATCAAACCAAACCCCCAATCTATTAATTACTTATGATGCTAATTGAGGTCCTGAGCTGCTTGAAGACTCTTCCATGTGTACTTTAGTACTTGTTAGAAGGAAATATGTAGAAAACAAATACAGAAGGTAGCAAGAATCTTTTCACCTAGCTGGCAGGAAAGGCTGTAATAGCCTTGAGCTTGTTACACTTAGAGTGGGCTGAAAAACTACGAGTAAATTCAGCAGACACAATAAGACCACTGGTCAGCTGAAATGCCTGAAGAGGCTTCTTTCTTGAGAGAACTAAAGGTTATATATACAAGCAGGTTTTTAAAGTTTGAGCTACATGGCCACAATAGTTCCTCTTAATCCAGAAACATACACTTGTGAGAGGGAAGTCACATCATGTAAATCCCTACTCATAAATTTTTCTTTGCAATTATGAACGAAGGTATTTTATGACCTTTGTGTTTCCTTTTTCTATTCTCTCCAGGACAAAAGAGTTTCAAACAAAACTATTTTAAGCTATTAAAAAAATAATTTAGATCTCTATCAAAACTAGAATGAACAATGCAGACAAACTTACCAAATAAATTGGTTTTCACAGTGATAGACAGATGAGTGTTATTTCTAAGGATTTCCATGGCTTTTGTCAACTGAATGTTTTCAAAGTTTTGACCATTCACTTCCAATATCTAAAATTCAAACAAGTTTGAAAAATTTTCATGCAGTGAAGAGAAAGGAAAAAAAAAAAAAAAACAGGGGAGGGGTAATGGAGGGAAACATTTTAAAATTACATACCTGGTCTCCACGTTTCAAGCCTGCTTCTGTAGCTTTGCTACCAAAATCTACACTGTCAACAAAGATTCCAAACCCCTTTTCTGACCCTCCCAGCAAGATAAAAGGCAAAGGGGCTTCTCGAGATGGCTTTGTTAATGTTATCAATCTTCGTTTAGCTTTAGCAGCACAAGCAATATTTAACAGCCTCAAATGTCCACCCATTTTCTACAAGAGAAAAGCATAGTAAGTTATAGAAAACAACAGCCTGGCTTTTCCCTGTTATCCCAAGTAGTCAGAAAAAAACCCTCACTCTTACCTCCCTCTCCAGATTGTTCTCAAATTCTTCCAGAAATCGAGTCATAGCAGGATCTCCTTCAAAATCATTGAAGTGATTGTTCACCCACAACAATACTACCCGTGTAACCTGAAAATTCATCAATATTATAAATATATTACTGGAATACTCAGAACAACACTACTGCCAAGTTCTTTAACAATACTGGTCATTAAAGGCCCTGTAAATTTTCACTGGAAACTTAAATAATACATATACATACATATTTTTATATATATATATACACACACACACATCCATCCTAATCAAACTTCACTAATATACAATTATGTATCAGGAGAAAAGAAAAAATTAAGTATCAAAATTGCTTTCACTTTAAGCAATTGTAAGCTGTATTTCATAATGAATGCTGCAAGTCAGAAAACACTGGCTGTATCAAATTTTATTAAGTGAGGAATAGTGCACACAGGTAGAAGGCAACAAGGTAGATCCATTTCTGACTTATAACAATTTCCTGTTCATGTACATTTCCAAATCTGCTTAGTTCTCCAAGCACAGGATCACAAAGCTTACAATACAGCCTAATATTGGCTCTTCAATCTCCTAAGTCTTTAGAGGTGCCACCATTAACTTCATTTGGCATTTAGCTCTGTAAAAGATCTCCTGTATGTTTAGAGAGGCAGGAAAAGCAAGATATTGCAAGAAGTAGGAAAGAGGTTTTAACAGCAAAACCAGCAATTCCTTTCCTTAGAGCCAATCTTTCCATTTACTCCTCCTTTTTTCCCTCCATTGGCTATTCCCCCCAAGCAATTATGATGATAGAGCTGAGAAGAATCTTAGCTGGTATTTCACAGTTTCTTAGGAAAAAATCTGAAGAAATACCATTAATTAATACTAATGAAGGTAAAGCCACAAAATAAGAGCTGCATTTTTTAAAACTATATGCTTTTACTATAATGTTCTCTCTTTTAGTATGTGATTTGACCTGGAATATCAGCAGCAGTTGTCCTGACAAAACAAAAGTGTTTTGGTGTCTTGAATTAGTATTGATTCTTGCTATTTTTAAAAAGTTGCTGAATCCAAAACACTTGTGCCACTCAATGCTACCTCTAAAAATACAGCTGCATTTCTTCTTTTATGCTGGGAAAGCAAATCAGTAGGGATAAATCTCTAAACATTTCAAAACCAAACGCTTAAGAACAAAGTCTCATACAATTTAAAAGTCTCATACTAATTTTAATTAGTGCTAACCCCCACCCATTCTTCGTGTCTGCACAAAATCCAAACCTCTGCAGTCCCACATGCTAAAGGTCTGACACCAGGCATACAAAACCAATCCCTGCCACTCTCAAAATTTCTAAGTAGTCTTTCTTTTACTCCAGAAAGGAAATTAATTCAGAAGAACTGCTGAAATTAATGACCAAACTAACCAAGCACTTCAGAATTCCTCATGTTCAGATCCTAACTGAAGGCAACTAGCCAGCTCTACATGCTGCAGCTCCCAGCCACAGGAAAATACTTGAGATTTCTGCACCTTTGAAATTGAAGATGAACTTCATTCCTGTTAAACAGTTTTGATATTTTTCATTACTGTGGATGACACTGGAAGATCCAGACAATGTCTGGTTAAATTTAGGGTAATTGCAGATTATTAAAATTGTCTGGGAAGTTGCAAGCTGTACCACGCAATGTATTTTAAACTACTGCAGTGACAGGTTCACTGTCAGCGCTGCTTTTAAAGTTGGGACTTAACTCATCTACACCCAGAGGACACTGAGCTGGGAGGAGTTGAATGCTGACTTCCAGAGGAATGCCATTACTTGTGTCACAAATTAGGAACAGCATTAAAAGAGGATTAAAGCTGTAAAATCAAGTAACTTGCTGCAGGGCAAAATCATTGCTAGGGCTGGATGTCCAGTGTCCCACTCTGAATGCTTCTGAGTACTGATCATCCCCAGGAAGTTTTACTCACCCCTTTCACTCCCCTTACTGCCTATCAGCACCCAGTAAAAAACAGCCAAAATCTTCCAGATTCCTTATTCCCTACTTGTTTATCTCCACTTGTCCCAAGCTGTTCTCTGCCTCTTGCCTTTCTGTCAGTGCTGCCGGAGGTCAGAAAAGGCTGGTTATTGAGGCAGCAGAACAAAGAGCTGTTCTATGTTCAGAGTGATACAAGCAACTGCGCTAGCTCATGCTTTTAGAGGTTGAGGAGATTGTCCATTGTAGGACAAGCAACATAACTGTAAAGGTGAACTCCAGTATTATAGCTCTGAACAGTATTAGCTGCAAAGCCTACCCTCTGTCATATATAAGATCCTTCCTTCAAGGCACAGCTACACATTTCTGGAAGAAATACCCAGATTTAAATAAAAGCTGAAAACCAAAGTTCACTTTCACTGGTGAATAATTCCCATGGTTTTAAGTTTACAAATATCCGGAAATTTTTAGAATTTTTTAAATTAAGAGGAAGTTGCATACAAGAGGAAATAAAGAAATACAGTTTGAAGGATGATAAAGCCTCAATGGCCTGTGTGCCAAAACTGTATGTACCTTATTCTTCCATCATGGAAATTTTGTTTAGGGAAGATTTCTGATTGCTTTCTTGTGTTTGGGTTGGGCTTGGTGACTTTTTTTTAATGCTACGTAAAGCACAACAGATTGTTAACAATGCATGAATGTTCTATTCTCGTTTTTTAAAAAAATCACGTTTGCCACACTGAATTAACTAACAATATGTACAGAAAACACAAAACTTATTATATGCTCAAACTTGGAGACACAATAAAATTCTACTGAATTACATTAAATAAAAATACTCACAATTGGAAAAAAAAGCTTCCTGTGTACCTGCAACCAACTAAGTTGTAAAAACACAGCAAGGTAAAGCATGGGAAATTCACCTTGCACGAACACAGTAATATTTAAATAAAATAAGGAAAAAAATGTTCTTAGTTTTAGCCATATATTCAGCCATTAAAATATGTCACCAGCTATTTGTATCTTAAGCAATTTAGTCATTCTCTCTAAAGCATATTTTATTCTTGTTGCTTATATTTTAATGCAAATGGTAACAATACATGATTCAGGAGATTTTCACCTTATCCCTGAGGCTGGGGTCATTGAACCACTCCAACAACTTCTTGCCCACTTCCATTGGGCTGGAAAGAAAGGTCCTATACGTCAACAGGAAGTCTTCTATAAATGTTGGGTCTACCACAGAGTGCTCTTCCACCAAATGCATTGTTAACCTTTCAGCTGTCCCCTATTGAAAGCAAAAAATTTTAAAAACCATAGTTATTAACACATTTTCAACACATGCAAATTTGTTTTCTTGTAACATACTGAAGACTCATCACACCAGAAATACTGCCATCCACTAACTGATGTGCTAAGCAAACATAACAGCTTGACCACTGTGTTAAGAAACGTAAAAAAAAATAAAATTATGTAATTAATCTCTACAGAAACCACCTATCAGCATGCATAATTATTTTTAAAAATCTCAAAATATTAACAGTCCATTTTCAAATATTTACTTCTACAATACATATCTCAGCTGATCCTGGACCTAACTTGCCAAGTTAAGAGGTTTACAGAACACAGATTTTTTCAAGAGACTCTCTCTTTTCCTTTTACCTTGATGACAATGTGGCCTTTTCTCGTTCCAGTGCGGTCAAGCTCCCTGTGCTCCTTCACCATCACAATCTCCCCTTCCTCTTCTACCTTCTGCATGTTCTTTTCCACTTGGTTGAGGATGCGGCAATAGTCTTGCTGGGCTATGCAAACAAACTGGAAAGCACACCAGTGTTAAAAGGTTACATCTTCAGAAGAGCATTTAGACTTAAGGTGCAAGTACTCAATCAACAGACAAGATAAAGTAGCTCCTCAGCCTGCAGTGAGCCTTTCCAACAGTTTTTGTCTTTCCAACAGTTCAGCTGTAGCAAGCAGATGAACAGACAGGCACAGTGCTGTCACTACAACCCTGCAGTTAGAGGAGACCAAGATCCATCAGAGCAATATGATTTAGTATTCCCAGCCATTTCCATTCAGTTGCTTTGACCTGCCCACTGCTGGAGATGAAGGCCAGTTCTTTTGTGGTGTTTAGAAGAGTTAAGTAAAATCCAGCTTTTATTTTTTGTGCCTCTTGTTTTGGTAAATAATCTTCTTTTTTATAGCTATTTTATTGAAGTCAATTACTAAGAAAAATAACATTTATTCAATTAATTAGTGCAGGCACGAAGAAAGAAATTACTTCTTGGCTTAAAGCATACAGCAGCAAAATTATTTTCTACAATCATCAGTTCAGCCAAGAATAAATATCTTTGGAATGTTCCTAATACCTACACCGTACAAATTTAATTAAGACCAACCATAACAAATTGGAAAAAGACTACATTGTACACAAATTGTTATACACTTGTCTCTTTTGGGGAACAAGATTAAACTGCCTTATTATATGAATTTGGGGTATTTAACTGAGAGGAACAGTGTTTCTTATGGTTGAAAAGTTGTTAAATCCTCACATACATACTTAGGACAAGGGCCTAAGAATCAGAGACAGTATTTTCTCTTTAAATTCATTTGCACAACATTTCATTTTTCCAGCAGCTAGTAGTAGCTGAAACAGAAGTCCCACAGTTTGGATTTGCTGAAAACATTACCCTAACAAGAAACCATTTATGCACATTTTGGGAGTTAGATGGGCAAGCTAAACCAGGTGACTCTATTAACACATATTTTCACTCCTTTCAAAGGTCATTACTGGAAGCTAATTAGCCATCAGGACCAAGCAAAATGCTTAATTCACTCATGGCTCTGCTATAATTTTCTGGATGGGAATAAGCAAATAGCAACCACATAATCAGATTCAGCCAGTAGTTTTATGCCATGAAAAGCATTCTTTACATCTGACTGCTTGTATTACAATAAACATCAAGGCTTTTCCTTTGAAAGGTCAGATTAGCCAAAATTAGATCTTTCACTCAAACCACAGGAGATAAAGTTTGTATTACTCTGATATTCAGTAACTGAGTTGAGTAAGGAAGAATGGCTATTAGATGCAGAAGGGAAGGAGCCTGTCATGGCTAATGGACCTTGAGATCCTACTAAGGAGCACTGGAAGCAATGGATGTATGGCTGGTGGCCCTCACCTTTTGGAAAAAGCATGTAGAGAAACACCTTCATGCAAAATGATGCTTTACCCAAATAAAGATAACTCAATTTCCCAGACTTTGGGTATGCAGGAGCCATATTGCCCAACTACTGTCCAGGGTTACCCACTGGATATTTTACGTACATTCAGTTTAAAATAAAACTGGGTCTAATTATTGAGTTGCACTTCACCTGTGTGGGTGTGAATTTGCATGTACCACAGACACTCTACCTGGCAGTCATCCACTTTGGTTCTCATCACTCCTTTCATATATTCCTTTTCCATGGTGGGGGAAACACCAAAACTATTCCCCATGCACAATATCTCTGTTCTTCCATCAGGGTATGTCACCTCCACAGAGCCATTCAAAATGACTGACCAGGAATCCAGCTACAAATCAAACATTGCAGGATACATGAAGACCAAATCACTTAATATTTTAATATCATACTATATAAATACAACTCTCACAATTGTTCTAAAGCACAAGTTATTTTCTAGTACCTATTAAAAATTTTACAAGCTCATTTTCCTTAAATGTACAGCTATTTCCAGCTCAAGAAAACTGGGATCTTAAGTTCATCTTTAGTATTAAGAGGTAATTTAAGACTGTGAAAAAAAAAATAGAGGAAGTTTTAAAACAGCACTTGAATACAGAAATAAAGTCCCCAGATGAGTTCAAATAGGCAGGAAGCATTTTGTACAGTACAGAGAATGTTTTCTGTTTTTACTGCTTAAGAAATGTGTGAATGCCTAAACAAAAGTTTTCAGAAAATCCAGAACAAAAAGAGTCCTGATTTACCTGAATGTTGCTTTTTTTTTTGTTTGTTTGTTTTTGTTTTTGGTTTTTTTTTTTTTTTTTTGTTTTTTTTTTTTTTTTTTGTACAGTAACAAAAGAGGACCTTAACTGTGTGGAATCTGGGATGTTTGGTATAATAGGAGAGTCAAAAGCAACTTCTACTGACCTCTTCCCCATCGTTTAGTACAATAGTTCCCGCTCTCTCCACAACAGCAAACACCATTACAGCACAGAGTTCTCTCCTCACTGACATTGTCATGTTGGCAAAAGCAGGCAATTGATGCATGAATTCCAGTAGTTGTTCTGAAGGAGAAAAAGCCCACTGAGTCGTGCATGTCAAAACAACAAAGCACAGTAAAGACAGTTCTTCAGCAAGATGCCTGAGGCTGCTTAAGCTAAACTGCTGCACAATCATTTCTGTATACTAATAAATCATGTACAGTGGCCTGTTTTAATTACTGGGTATTTTGTAGACACAGACTGGCTGGTCATATCATCAATAGAAACCCTGCAAAGTAAAAGTCAGCATAACGGAAGGATTGTAATGTAACCAAGAGCTCTGAATACAACCAATGATATTTTTAATACTCCAGTCAGGGCAATAATTTCATTGTGACTAGAACAATATAAAACACAGCAAGACAAATTTCACAAAACTGAGCAAGTTGTTTGGTAAAGCTAACACCTCCTAGTCATTGTCAGGTGGTTTCACAAAGGTTGTCTCAGATGGGCCAGACAGGATTACTGTCTTAAATATGACTACTGCTGCTCTGTCTTCTACATGCACTTGAGTTGCACTTGTACTCAACAGTGAGCTTCCTGTATTTTCATTTTTATGCTGTTCATAACTACAGAATTTAATTTTAGCAGTCCTGCCAAGTGATTATATGCCCTAAAAATATTTTTGCATCCAGATTGATCTAAAATGTCTATTGAAAGAGTTCAATAGGACCCCATCTTTTCCCTAATTTTTAATTTACTCTGAATCACAGAAATATTGTGGTTAAAAGGGACTTCCAGAAGTCACCTGGTCAAACCTGCCTGCTCAAGCAGAGCCATCTACCACCAGTTTCCCAAGAACACATCCAAACATCTTCTGAATATCTTCAAGGAGGAATACTAACACCTCTCTGGACAACCTCTCACAGCGCTCAGTCATAGCAGAAAAAAAAAAAAAAAAGCATTTCCTAGTGCTCTAATGGAGCCTCCTGTGTTTTAGTTTGTGCCCTTTGTCCTCTCACTGGACACTACTGAGAAGACTCTGGCTCCATCATCTTTACACCCTCAAGCCAGGGTATTTCTATACATTAATGAGATCCCCTGAGCCTCCTCCAGGCTGAACAGCCCCAAGCTCACTTAGACCTTCCTTGCATAAGAGATGCTTTAGTCCCTTAATCATTTGATAATCAACCTTAATCATCATTTAGTCATACTTCAATAAAAGAAAAATATCTCCCCCAGTGAAACAGATTAGATTAAAATTTGGATTCTAGTTCTGTTTTGCTTTCAATGTGTTTACTTGTATGTTAACATAGCAAATTAGTTTGATTAGATGCACATTTATGTTAAGGTTTTAAAGGCTGCAATGTTTGCAGCAAATGTCAAGTCACAATGTCACAACTGACAATTAAAAATATACTGTGAGAAGCAGTGCTGACATTAATGTCACCTTTGCCAAGGTTCTGTCTGTTTTCCAGGTTTCAGTGACATCTCCTTCATAAACCTGTTCTGATATCCATTAGAAGCTGAAGCTTGAGATCAAAAGGGCCAGCAAGTAATAGTTTCACCCATATTATGTGTTTTCCTTACTTGTTCACATTATATGTACACTTATATAAAAACCAATAATAATAAACACTAAACTTACCAACTACAAAGGCCAATGATTAAAATAAAACAGCAAGCTCAAAAATTAAGTTTTTGGATGTGAAGAAGAACATGTTTGACAATATTTAACTACATTGCAATACTTACCAATGTCATCATCTGTCCGGTCTATTGGGTCTTTCTCCAAGCAGTCTCTTACAATATCCCTACTCATCAAAGGATCTGATGCCCTTTCAATGTCTTCTTCATCATCATCATCCTCAGAATCCACTGCTGTCTCTGGCAATCCACTGAGATCCATATCACCAGCCTCACTTTCTGTAGCCTAATTAGTGCATAAACAATTAAAAAACATTCAAATATGTTCTTTACTGCTGCAGTTTTCTGGTTAAATGTACAGAGATGAATTCTATCATCTAGCAAATGACCCAAATTTATTCAATATTTTATATTGCTTTTTTCCTTATATATCTTTTAAAAACAATTAACAATTTATCAATCCAAACCCACTGTGTTTAAATAAGACTTTTAACATTTGTTTTAATCAGTCACACAAACAAAGGATTCAACAGATATTACTTAATCTGTGGGTCTTGGGGGGATTGAAGGCTATTACATTTCAAGCAACAATGTCTTGGACTGTTAGCTGAATATAATTTTTTTCAATAAACAGTTCTCATTTGACAATTTCTGTGCTCACCCCAAATTTACATTTTCAGACAGGAAAACAACATAATTTTAAACAGACAGTTTGGGGAAATGAGAACAGCATCAAAATGCTACAGGAATTTTTCTATCTCTCAGTCACCTAGGATTGTATTTTTCTTTTACAATTCCAGTTGAACATGGTTAAATATGTCTTTCATTTGCTGATAAACTGCCTAAGAAATTACAGATGCAGAAAAAACGCAAAGTCATTGCTTAAACACAACAGATGGACTACCCAGAATATCTGTCAAACTTCACCTCCCCTGAATTGTATTAAAATGAATGAAAATGTAGTTCAGATATAGCTTGAGGTCATTAGTACAGCACCTAAAGGTAAATATATTTTAATGATCAAGTTTGAAGACTGAACACTTTAATAAATCCCACAAACATTTGTCTGTCATGGCTTATACGGCTGCTTTTCCTCAGAACCTGATTTAATACCATGGCAGCTGCCAAGGCTTAGCTATGACAATTTTTAAAGAAATGCAAGCTCCTAATGAGCAAGTTTTAAGCCATGGCTTGAGAAATCCAGTTTCACAGGCCTTAAAGGAATGGCTTGTTTCTGACACTCTGGGAGCACACAATGCTTTCACATCTACTTTAAAAATACTACACGGGACGAACACACCTACTAAAGCTTGTTTCATCAATCTATCTCAGACTGGTGAAAAAGACAACCCCCAAAACTAGGTCACTCTCTAAGCACAGAGAAGGTAAGAGAAATTGCATTGGTAATTTTGTAGAATCATCTCCCCTATTCCTGCCTCCCTATCTGTGGCTGACATCTGTTACTTTAATGCCACTATACACAGCCACCTCATGAACTGCAGCATATGGCTGGAGATGGATCAGGGGCAGCTAGTGAGAGTCTTAAATGCTTCTGTCCTACAGCACAACACAACCTCTGTAACTGGGCCTTGTTAATATAAAAAAAGCATGATAACAGCATCTACGTAAAATTTGAATTATTCTCACTTTGTGGTTTTGGGTTGGGTTTTTTTCATTGTTGTTGTTCATTTTGGATTTTAGTGGCTTTTTTGGTTTTGATTTGGCAAGAAAAAATGCTGCTCGTTTTTTTAACCAGGATAAGGAAAGATGTTACTGGCATAGAAATAAATCCCAAAACATAGCAAAGATAGCAGCATTTTTATGAGCAGTCTTACTGTGTTTAACATGCACATTCCCTGCGATACATTTGAAACAGCTGCTGTAACTACTCTTTCAAAATAGCCTTCATCAAAAGTGACTGGTGGAAAAATTAGTGGTGATGAGTCAGTAGACACACAGCTTATGACACCAATCTGTCAGTATCTGAAGTCTCCAGCAGTGACAATTCCAGTGACAGTGGGACTGATTCACAGTCAATTTTGCAAACCTTCCCATCACTAACAAGTGCCCCTCCTACCTGCCCAGATTAAGCCCTCTCAAAAGCATGTTAGAAAAATTAATGCAGAACTCAATTTAGTCACACAATGCTAACATAGACAAGAAACTTCCACCTATTGTAAAACATCTGATTATTAAAAGATAAGTTATTTTACTGTCTTAAATTAAACAGAACTGGAAAACTCTTGAAGCTCTATTATCAAGAAGACTCGATGCTATTTAAAACAAATTATCACACTGAATTAAATGTAACTTTGGACTCAGGAAACACTTTACAAATACTACTAAAGGATACAAGATTTGCCAAAGATGATCACAATTTACACTCACTGTTTCTTCTTTTTTTTTGACAACTGAAGTTATTGGTGCATGGAAAGCAACTACTTCTAATTTCCTATCAAAAAACCCAAACCATTGCAACAAAGAAGCTCATCATTGAATGCAATAATCCACAAAGTAATAAGAAAGTCTGTTAATTTAGGACACCTTTAAAAACACCTTCAGAAGAAAAAAAAATTACATGTTTTCAAACAACTTTCCGAAATTTCTATGATCATGCAAAAGATAGCAAAGAAAGACAAATGTAGCCTTTCTGCATGACAAAAAACTAAACCAAACAAACCCAACTCCCCCATCCCAAACCCACAAACAAACAAACAAAACAACCAAAAAAAAAAACCAAACCAGAAAACTAACAAAACCTTGAGGGTCCTTGTGTTTATACATCACAAATAGCTTTTTTTGGTTTAGTAGCAGTATGTATGATGTCAAGTATTCAAGGTCCTCTTGCTGAGACATTAAACTTCATGACCCAACTACTCTGAGTGCTTTTTTATCCCCTTCTGTGTGAGAAAAACCAATCATATCAGCACAGGAACCCTTGGTTACTAAGCAATAGCCTTGCATCTGTCTAAGATTAAAGGGGAAACCCCCATGAGCTCCTTTGGGCATAGGGGATTCCATATGAACCACAGCCACCAAAAACCCAAATACAAGATGAATATCCAATAGAATTTGTACTACAGTCAGTCATGAGGCTTACATCTTCTCAGGACATGTAATCAAGGATGAAATACACCTCAGAATTGCCATTCTTGGGTGTGTGTTGTACTTTGGTTCTTAGGCAATAAGAGACATTAGTTTCACTTAAATAAATCTGAAAAGATTGTATGCAAGAAAAATGTTGGTTGCAGCCTGAAGTACAAAACAATGTCTCTCCACAGTCTGAATACCAACTGCGATAGCAAACTTCTCATGTCATCTTTCCATTTTCTGTGGAGAAAATTTTTCAAGCTTCAAAGCAATCTCATAATAGTGACATCCTAATATTTTATTTGTCACATCACCGACATGACAGTTAAGAGACTAAGACAGACGTTTTCAAGCCTGAGTTACAGTAGTATTTCATATTTGACACATAGGGAGAATCTAACCAATTTGAAGCAGTGGCTATAAAGGTTAATACTGCACCAACAAAAAACTAGTTGCTTCAGCTGCAGAGGATCTTGAAATCCAAACACACTTCCAGATTTGAGTGATAACAGCTAATTAAGCAAATACTGTCAAATAACCAGGGTAAAGATGTAAACTTAAAGAAGCCTTGTCTAAGTTCTTGGTTAGCCTTTAGTTCCTTGATTGACATGAGGAAGAAGGGGAGGAATAAGAAAAGAAGAACAGCATTCATTCTCCCTAGGTCAGACTGGGGAATGGTGGACCCTTCTGGTCACTTCAGATTGGCAGGAGAGGAAGCCGGTTAATCCCAACTCTCCTGGTCTTTGATTTTTTAGATGCACCATGACAATGAGATAATGAGAGAGGTAATGGACTACACAAGCAGCTGAAGAAGATGGCTTCATTTACTGCCTGTCTTCCTCCTCCTCCACTGAATTTTTGAGTTTCTTGAGAAAACAGATTAGAAGAGGTTAAGGACAATCTCTATGCAACCAAGTAACCCTCACTCCAGCGAAACAACTGCTTCATCACACACACCCCACCCTTACTAAGGGAAACAAAGTGGGAAGACTTGGAGAGCTGCTTATATGACTGGCTCTGTTTTAAGTGGCCTTCATGGTTTTCTTTCTATACTGGTTTGAGAAAAACTTCCAACTGATGGTAACATAAAGAGAAAAAACTAGAAAACCTGTAAAAGTAACCAGACTAACTACAGATTTCTTAGTATTTCAAACAGACTATTTTAACCTTTACTTTTCTAGAAATTTTATTTTAATTGCTTTTTTAAGGAAACATTGTATCACTGTGAACATTAAATTCCCCTTGTAACTATTGTTACCACCTAAAATCAACAATCCAAAATCTCCAAACATGCAAGAGAAAAAAAACCAGCACAAAAAGAAATAACAAAACAAAACAAAACAACAAAAAAAAAGCATGAACAGAAGAAACTCCTTGCACAAACCAGAAATATGTTCATTGCCTGGTGTAGTCCTTCAATTCCACAAAGGTAACAAAGAAAGAAGCCATTCTCAGCTCAAAAACACCAGCTCTACACTACTTCTCAACCACTGTCGTTTAAGGGCTAAAAAATGAACTAAAAAATGAAAATAAGAATGTCTATTACCAAAACTACTCACTTTTACTTTCTAATTTTTAAGCTGATACTGATACAAAGCACAGTGGCTCTACCTGACTCATTAAATGGCTTGCAGAAGTCACATTAGCTTGAAATATTCCCTCATGTCATATAGACACAATGGATTCAGTGTCTCCACAGAGACAGAAATAATGTCTGAGGCTTTATTTTAAATTAGCTTTCAGATGACTGAGCAAAAGTTTACAATATCAATAAATTAAGATGAAATTCAATCCATGCAACTATAATATGTATTTGTCTATTAAATAGTCATACTACAATCAACTACAATTATTACATGTACAGAAATCATCCACAATCTGACATCGTAACATTATTTTTTTCATGCTACATTGACACGAGTGCAAATGTCCATGCAATACCTTAAAACTCCTTCAGTCCAGGCTTTTCACAGTGCTCTCCATATCTGTTCTTTCATTATCTACCCCAAAATCTACAACACAGCAGCCCACGTGCCACAGAAGTCAGCCTGAGCAGTTTTCCTCACTGAAGATGGAAATGCGTAGCAATGCAGACAACCCACCAGGAACAGCGTCCCCCCTTATTGCCAATAATTGCCTCCTTCTCAGAACGGAGCAACACCTGCCAGGACCACAGGCATACAGAACATGGACTCTGGAAGTCACAGAGCAGATTAGGAGACCCTGAATTTACAGGAGTGATAAGGAACTGCATAAGGCTTTGTTGAAAAAGCAGGGGTGGCAGTCCACAGGACAATTTACCTGAGCTGTTCCAGCCACTCTGGCATCAGCCAGAGCCCTGCACTTCAGCAGCTGATACAGTCAAAAAGACTGGCTTTACCTTAAGGCAAAATGTCTTTATTTTGCATACAGTGACTAAAGGGCAGACTGCATGGACTCTGGTTTGAGAGACAAAAGACTGGTCTCACTCAGGATAGGAGCTGCTGACGGGTAGACCTTTCTTCTAGGAGCTGCCATACCAGAATCATGAGAAAACAAAGCTGACATCTTGAAAATTTCCAAGCAATAGACACATCCTGGGAGGGTCTCAGAAAGGATGTTCCTGGTTTCCTGTACCGACAGTGGTATCTGGGCAGGCACTGAGGGCACGTAAGCATGGCAGGAAGCCACCAGTCTGAGGACAGGATAAGGCAAAGAAAGGCTGGCAAAGAGCTGAGCCAACACAACAATGCTTCCCAAAACAGGGAGGGGGAATACTACACGTTCATGAGCTTAGATCTCCTCACTCTCCCATTAATCTGGTAATATATTTAGCAGGTATAGGAAACATTTAGGAGCACATAGGAACAGGTATATTTGTTCATTTAAGAATCATTAACTAAGCCTAGGAATCAAGAGCAAGCAGCCACACATGAGATGCAGCAGTGAATGATTTGCTTTGCCAAGTCAAAAAAGGACAGAAGCAAGGAATTGTTATTGGCAAATACAAGGCAACACATGATCTGCTGACATTCAGCATCCCCTTCCTCTCAAGTCACCCTACAGAGTTTGTCATTTGAACTTATTTCCTAAAATAAAAACAACAGTATTTAAGGACCTTACTAACTGGCACCTGATATGTTTTTGAAACTTGGGTGGGGTAAACACAAAGTTGATTTTATTTTGGTAAGTATTTCTTATCCTAAAAGAAGTTCTTTCATGTGCAACGTTTGACAAACAAATTTAGATACCACATTAATATTTAAAAGGAAGTATTCTCAGTTCAATGCTGAAAGCATCTGAAGATTCAGCTTCATGATTTATTTAAAAAATCTTAAAAGGCCATGAACATATTTTCACTGGAAGCAGCTGCTCTTAAGGCTACAGAACTAATACTTACGGGATGCAAAACATGACATATTACCTCAGAGTTCAACAGTAATGATCTAAATAACAGTATAATTTTTAAAACCTTTTTTTTTCTACCAACTGCAAGACAAGATGATGATCTTTCTAAATCATTGCTTTCTACTTAGCTATAATGAACAGAAGTCCACCCCACTGAACAGAAAAATGCCATTATATACAGAAAATAAGAATCAAAGGAACAATGATCATGAGCTTCACCTAAGACTTATCAAATTGAAGCAAAAAAAAAAAATAACATGTTGATGACATGGATATGGTTTACTGTTTTTGAACTTGGGAGACTCACTTGGGAGAGAATTACAACACAAACAATTGAGAAAGAATGACTGATTCACTCTCTTGGTTTAAAAATATATTTCTCTTTAATCCTTAACTTGGCCCTAGAGGAGTCAAATTACAGCCATTTTATTTTGGTTTGGTTTGGGGTTTTTTTTGGCAATACTTTAACCTAGCCTAACACTGCTATATTACATTATTTTATGACTGAAACAGGCCAGAAATTAATGATTTACCAGAATTTGAGAAATCAAGGCAAACAATACTTGGTACCATTAAATTAAATTCAAGAATTTAAGAATCTTATCAGTTTCCACACCCGAATTTACCATTTCATTAATAAACATTCCTTCAAGTATATGTATTAAGACAAAAAGATGAGGTTGCATTCTACAGTACATGGTCATATATCTGAATGTAGATATGGACATAGGTTATTAGCCATACTTTGACATTGTGCAATTACACAGTTCTTGATAAATCTGTGCCAAGTCACCTTTAAATGTGGTATTAATTGCAGATTAATTTAAGAAACTAGATAATATTTTTAAGAATGGATTATGCATTATGTTTGTAAATTCAGTTTAAAAGAATACTTAAAGAGTAAATTCTGTCTGTATAAATACTTCAGTATACCATTAACTCTCTCCAGACACCAACCATTATGTTGATTCCAACACTGCCAATGAAACCAGTAGGAGTCATAGACCAGGTTGGCAACTACATAGAGAAGTATTTTTCTGAGGTTTCTTTAGTTCTTTTATGAAGCTTGGTTGGTTTTTTTTTTTTTTTTTTTTTTTAAATTGCACAGAAATTCCATTATCTTCTTCACAGTTATGAATGTCTTGCATAAAGTCTGCAAAAAATTTACTTCCAACTTATCTCAAGAATAACTGTATGAGTGTAACTACCTGCCACCTACAGCTGTGTCTCTAGAGGCATTTGTTATTGCTCTGTTAGAGTGGAAATCTTTGTAATGAAATGAACAAAAATCTATAAAAGACGTGAAGAACAAAACTGATTTTCCATCTTCTTCACTCTCACAATATAAACCTAAATCATTTCTCAAAGTAATCCTGTCTTCAGAAGAAATTCTGACAAACCTACTTGACTGACAGATGCTATGCCTCAAGTGTTCAGCTAATTTGATAGTTTTGCAAAAATAAACCTTTGCATTATTGTAATTACTGTCTAAATTGAACTGTGATCTTTTTTTAGCCTATCTTCTTTCACAAAAAAGAAGCTTATAAGCTTATTCACCTGAAAGAGACTATATTCTTCAGCTATGACCACAGCTGAACTTTTATGTATTTTTAGATATGCTTTTCCTGTTGTTTAAATGACTACATTTGCAATTTCAGAATCATCTCAAAAAAACCATTACAGCTCTTCTAGTTAACAGTACTTCATGTTGAAGTGGTCTCACTACTTTATGATTATTTTGATAGAAATATATTTTAATTGGATTTGATTCCTTCCTTTCAAAGTAACAAATTGGTACACTTCCCTATCTGGACAGCTCCTCCTCCGACATTGCAAGAACCATAAAAATCAAGTGAAAAATGCATAATTCCTCATTTTATTTCACTTTAGATTTTTTCCAATTTAGATTTAAACTCTGGATCAATTTCAGAGTTTCTCTAAACTCAAACTGTGCCCAGTGACCAGCACAGAGCTTTACAAGAAGAAGCCACCTCAGAAGTATAACTTTAAAAAGCATCACCAGTTCAACCTACCCAACTTTCTGAGGATGGCCAGGAGAGGAAGCACTGCTGTGAGGTTGGCATCACATTTCTACAGGGTGGGGAAACAGAAAAATGCCCCTCCAGCACAGGATGCTCACTCCATATTTGTTTCTTCCCACCACTGAGTAGGCTCTACATTATGAACCCAACACATCTGAAGCCTGAAATCATTACAATTCCAGCAAAAAGTAGGTTTTTGAAGTCTATTGAGCACTTCTTCAGATAAAAACTGGCAAGAGGCAATAGCAAGGGCATTCAGCTCTTAAATGCAAAACTGCTGGCAATTGCACCTCCCATCAGCATCCCTTCCAGTCTTACCTGGTAGATATCAGAAAGGCTGCTGCTTCCTGAATCACTAGTGATGCTACATCCTGAGTGACTAGATGAAACGTGGGTCACCTGTGGGTGGAGACTGTCAGTAAGGTGCAGCTTTGTGAAATCTGCAGGAAGCTATAGGTGGAGCAGAAAAAGCATCATTACAATTTGAGGGAGATACACAGCAAAATTAATTCAAATCATATATGTCACACTTTACTCTCTGCCAGTACCAACAATTTAAGAAAACCACTGGGGCTTGAGAATGCAGCATACAAATTTTGAGTTATGCAGCTTTTTTAACTCATGCAGAGGTCAGCAAAATACCACCAAATTGTTGCAAATATAAGAGAGTCAAGAAAAACATGTATCTGAGGACAAACATTAGTGAAGCAATATGCCAAAACCCTTCAGTAGCTTGCTGTGGGGTTTGGACAGAATTAAAATGCACATGAATATTGTGCTACTTCCAAAATCACTGGTTTCCTGCAGAATGGGAATTAACAAGGGAGTAAAGTCACATAAATTCTTTGAAAAATCAACCAGCACTGCTCCGGATTTGGTAAACTCTTGTTTCTCAAGTTGACAAAGTACATTAGAGACAAGGAAAATCCAAGTCATTGAGCTATCCATTATACTTTGAGCCAAATAATATGACAGCAAATAGGAAATGTGGTAAGACTGAGACAATTACAAAGCGCTATAATCTTGAAATTAGTTTGTTCACATGCAGTGCTGAAGAATGAATTGAGACAGTATATTTGATCATTTAACAATCATTCACCAAGATTTGTGATATATATTTCTACTCTTGCTTTATGTCCACAGCTCCCATGAAAATCTTTAAGAACCGTGAACATTTCCAGACTGCAGAAAGCGAACATTGACAAAGTAAAATATTTGCTGTCTGAAGAAATATTTAAATGCTATTCCAGGGGCAAATTACTCTTCTCCCCAAGAAGCCTGCACCCCACAGCTAGTTAATAAAATGCATCAATTTTGGTGTGCAATAAATTCTTCAATAATTAAAACCAAAAATCCTTGTTCATGAATTTTGTTTCAACTCAGACAAGGCAGATACTCCCATCTCTAAGGAGTTGTGTTTGTATGAAAAATGTCACATGCAGTGTGTCCATTATTATCCATGTCAATTACGAATGCTACCTTGGTGCTTGTTCTCCCTGGATGGAAATGGAAATAAGATCTCATTCACCATTAAGAGAGAATAAGCCAATCAGTATAAAAGGTTAGGGAAAAAAAAGTCACAAGAGAACATGCTAGAAAAAACTATTAGCTCTATACAGCTAAAGATATGGAATGATTTTAGTGCTGTTTGCCTTGTTTAGTTCTTTTTATGGAACATGCCCCGAAAGAACCTTTGCTTTAATATTTGCTGTGAAATTACAGACAACTGCAAACAGTCTCATTTTGACTGATTGGTTTTTCCTATTCTAATACATCTGAAAAGGATTTCTTCATTATCACAGAATGTCTGCATCAGTGACAGCAAAAATGGCTGCATTTTAAATAAATCTTTCCTAGTATCTTACTGGAAAGAGCAGCTAAAACCAGCAACCAAATACTAATAATCCTAAAAAGCTACAGTAAGCCCAGAGCTAGATTTGATCTTCATCAACAAAGAAAAGACAATTAAAAAAAGCAATACTCTAATACACACAGCCATGAATGCTGCCTCCAGAAAAATCTAGTTATGCTCACTACTGTTAATGAAGTATCAGAAGGAGAAAATACAGCATTAGTGACTGCATTATAGCATCTGTTGTCTTTGCTGCTTTACTTTTCAATCTGTAAGTTTGAATTATCACATAATGGAACCATATATACTGATATTCAGGCCACTATACAATCTTTTTTATCCTTTTTGAGCCATTCTGCAAGTAAGTACTTATTCCATAGGTAGAACGCAAGGAAAATGACACACAGTTTTTGCAATGTGTTGCTGACTACTTCTCAAAGTACAGTCTCTCACAATTGAAGCAACCCACGTTTATTTCAAAGTAGAAATTCCACACATTATTTTAAGATACAAGCACAAATTGTCTAAGATTCACACATTTCATGCTAACTTACACAGATATATTTTGAGGGTTTTACCTTTTATAAAGCATTAACTATTGCAATCCTAAATAAATATTAACTCCATAGGAAGCTGTATATGAACACAGTGTGGCACCCAGCCAAACATGTTCAATTTTATAGTGCCCTGCAAATATCTCCGTGTCATTAACAGCAGCATTTATTTTTTATCAATGCATTAAAAATTTTAAATAATGTTTCATCAAAGAAAATCCAGTTAGTAAGCTAAAACACTCAGTGTTTTAAATGAGCAGCAAGGATTTATGTGTCACTACTGCACATAAGGCAAAAGGAAGAGGCAGAAGATTCCACAACTGATGGAATGCACTGCAAATAAAAGCAAGCCTTCTGAATCTCTTTGGCTCTAGACAATCAGCTGAATGCTTGGTGATTATTGGTTTCAGAGTAACTCCTCAAGTTAAAGCCATGCTGCATGAGCTGGACTTGCCAAGTGGTGACAGAAGATCAGAAGCAGGCATTTTTCTTTAGGCAACCTAACTAGTCACTTTGATCCTAATCAAATAGGACTATTTACAAGCAGAAAGCACATGCTCATATCTTTGTACAACACTACATCTCTGTGCAACATGCCCGAAAGCGGCATCCACTTCAACTGCCCTACCCCCAAAGTTAAGGTGAGAGACTGCATGAAGAAAACAATAAAATACAAAAATTAAATAAGCTGAAACATTTAAACCATAAACTCAGTGAAAAATGTGTGTGAGAAATACATGCATTTCTATTTTAGTCATGTACTGCTGTTTAAAATACTTCATATTTGTATTGTGCACAATGGAAAAAAAAGGTAAAGTACTGATAACAATGCAAACCCACATCTGCTTAAGACTTATATGGAAGTGTGGTGGGCTTGACACCAGATGCCCACCAAAGCCACTCTGTCACTTTCCTCAGCTGGACAGGAGAAAGCAAATACAATGAAAGGTTCAAGGTCAAGGACAAAGAGAGATCGCTCACTGTCATGGGCAAAACAGACCCAGTTTGGGGACAAATTAACTGAATTTGTTATCAATAGGATAATGAGAATAAACCCAAATCTTAATTACTTCCTCCCACGCTTCCTTTCTTCCTAGGTTCAGCTTCACTCACAAATGCACTACCTCTTCCCTTGCAGTAATGTGGACGGGCAAGGAATGGGGGCTGTGGTCAGTTCATCTCACATTGCTTCTACTGCTCCTCCCTCCTTGGGTGGAGGACTCTCACACTCTTCTCCTTCCAAAGGAGGCAGTTCTCCATTATCACCTCCAAAGTGAGCCCTTCCCATGGGATGCAGCTCTTCACAAATTGCTCTGGTGTGGGCCCCCTCTGGGGTCACAAGTTCTGCCAGTAAACCTGCTCCAGTGTGGGCTCCTCTCTCCACAGGGTCAAAAATTCCACCAGGAGCCTGCTCCAATGTGGACTTTCCACAAGCATCCACCTGCTCTGGTGTGGGTGTCCTCCAAAGGCTGCAGGTGGAATTCTACTTTGCTTTGGATCAACACAGGCTGCAGAGGTACAGCTGCATCACCATGATCTGCACCACAGGCTTGGTAAATCTCTGCAGGGACACCCAGAGCACCTCCTGCCCCTCCTTCTGCTCTGACCTTGGTGTCTGCAGGGCTGTTCCTGTCACATTCTCACTCCTCTCTTCTGTGGCTGCAATTGCACAGTTTTTTGTTCTCCCCACCTTTCTTAACTCTATGTTATCCCAGAGGTGCCACCACTATCACTGATTTCAGCCTTGGCCAGTGGCAGGTCTGTCGTGGCACCAGCTGGGTTTGGCTCCATCAGACATGGGGGGAGCTCCTGGCAGCTTCTTACAGGAGCCAACCCTGTGGCCCCACACTATCAAAATCCAGCCACACAAACCCAATACCAGCCAAACCCTTTACTCTTGGAGCACAACGTTTGGTGAATGTTTTTCAGGTAAGCAGAACAAGGACAAAATGCAACATTCAACAACCAGCAAAAAGCTGTCTACCCCAAACCAGGATATTTACCTCCAATTTCTTACTTGCAGTGGGACAGGATTAGAGAACATCATGAAACCATGCTATTACAACTCAGTGAAAAAATTTTCTAGGAACCATCTCCAGGCAGAGAAGAGTGTCTTCATGACAATAGGTATGTTTGCTGTGCTACTGAGTATCACTTTATTATTAAATTATTAAGCACTCTGTGCTTGTATTAAGCTATTGTTCCATTCTACAGTTTAGTACTGACTTTACTATTTAGTATAAGAGTAAAAACAAAAGTTTTCTTGTTACATTTACATGGCTAGATCTAGCACATGCTAAATCCACCAGACTATAAGCAGGATGAGAATGCCTAAGGACCCACCCCTGCCTCAGAAACATCACCTGTCACAGACTGACACCACCACAAATGGTGTCAGAACTGAATTCTCACTTTCATCTTGTTTTACATTTTCATTAAATGACGGCTAGGTTTAAGAAGTCATTCAAAGTAATAAGGATCAAAAGCAGCTGGTATATTTTACATAACAAGCACCACACTTAAATACAGCTTTGCTGAAGCCAACACCTACAATATTTCTTAACTTCCTTACTGAACAGTTTTAGTCACACCATCAGAAGGAACTGGCACACAGAGCAAAAACACAGCAGGGTAATTTAGAAAAATTAATGCATGACTTTTCTTAAGTAAATATAGTTTCAAAACACAGTATATGTACACTAGTTTAAATAATTTATAAACACTAAAAAGATCAGAAACTGTCCTGATAATCTAGTCTCAAACACAACCTTTGTAAGTGACAAACATTAAGGCGATATATGCATAGCTCTAATCACATGTAACAGGGACAAAAGTTTCTAGTAGAAAACATGACCTGATAAAATAGTTATGATCTAAGCCCTAGTCTTAATCTGACAGGGGTGAAAACAGTATTTTATATTTATAATGTAGCTCTTAACATGCAAATATACCTACATAAGTACATACATTTATACCGATTGCACACGTGGATAGAAACCAGAGTTAAAACAATACATCTGGGAACTCCCAATTTTTACTTCTTG